ACCTCTAGGTGTGACTTCAAAGTTAGCTGGTTCATCACATCATTCCCGTCTGACTCGAGTAGGCCTCCAGTTATTCTACAGAGATCACCAACGTTGATGACCAACACAATTGTTCGATCAACTCTTAGACTATTGTACTTTCAGGATCGATCCCGATGGCATGTACAAAGTGACCCCATCAACTCTTTAATGTGTTGTTAGTTTGAAACTGTACTAATTTTGTGCACAGTGGTGAGAACTGTTTGATCCCACCGTTGGTAGGAGGAGAAGTTCACTGTGTTCACACACAATTCGCAAAGTTTAATCTATGAGGCTTCAGCAAATGGTATTGGGACATTAAATGAAATGGGGAATTTATCAAAAACCTTAACGTTTTCTAGAATTTCAGGAAAATGAAAGATGTCTTTCAAATCATGTAGAGATATTTCTGAGTGCATCGGCTGTTAGTGATTCTCTTACAATTAGGAGAATTTGTTAGTCAAATATTCTGCCATAAATAGTATCAGTGTGACAAGAAACTCAGAATTCTATCTTTTCGATAGACAATACTTAACTGTCGAACTCACATTTTCCGTGCGCTATTTAAAAAGGACAGTGGTATTTTTCCTCACTGAGTAAATTTCATTGTTTTGATCGTTTATTACGTATCAAGACTACTGTTTTCACTTTAATTGAATTCATTTCAGTTAAAGTATTCGACTGGAGTACCGTTTTTACCGTTCTCTCAATTAGTTTTGTCGTTGGTACTCTTGACTACCTTATTTTCAATTGTATCTGTTAGTACTTTTGGTCCTAACAATCTACAGTTCTTCACTTTTTAGTCATTGATTATTTTTGTTTCTGAGCATCATCGCACCTCGTTCCTTTTTGAAAAGGACTCCTTTTAAATGACCGGACAGTGTGAAGAAAGCAGTTTTCAATGTCCGGGTTGTCGTTATCCCATTGAAAGCGGTATGCAGTGCGACGAGTGCAAAAGCTGGTACTACGAAGTTTGCACGGACTTAACGCCTGCGGCTTTCAAACGGTTCAGTAAGAAGTGTTGCGTATGACTTTGTCAACAGAGCTGTTCGGATGCAAACAGCCTGTTAACCGAGGCCATCTCACTGGTTGATGCTGCAAAGAAGTGTTTTAGCAAGCGTAGTCGGAACACGTCAAACAGCACTCGATCTGTCGACACACAAATCGACATGAAGCAAACTAAGGCTAGTTCGATAGTAGATGACTCGTGCCGGTCAAAGAAGGAAAAGCAGTCTCCAAAGGGACCTGCCGTAAACAAAAGCTCAAGGAAAGTAGGTTCTTCTGTTCCCCGTCTCCCAGATGGAATCCTACAGGAAACGCCTAGAAGCCGCAATCGCAAGGCTTGATCGGTTTCAAGCGGCAAACATAACCTGACCTCTCAGGTCGTCGACAACCCTCCAGAATCCAACACTAGGTTTCACGCAACTGTTGTTGCTTCTCCCAGCACCGTTTACGAGTGGGTACAGGTTGTAAGGAAGAAAAAAAGTAGCGATATAAAAGGTAATCCTACCCCTGTGAATGTAGTCGTAAATTCGAAAGCTAATCACAGCGACAGATCAGCTATTTTTCATAGAATCAATAAAAGCGAGAGCTCTGAAACTAAAGCTCCTTTTGAGCATGACATTGTACTGATTAAGCAGCTGCTTAATCAACTCATACCTCAAAATATCACGGGGGTCACCTTGCTAAAGGTGTACAGACTAAGAAGTCTAGCGGACTTGAAACCAAATCATTCCAGACTGCTTAAAGTAGTATTCAACTCTTCGAACGAACGTGATCTAATTTTACAGAATGGACACAAATTAAAGGGTTCAGGAGTCTTTATACGAAAGGACTTACCGATGGCGGACCGTGTAAAAAGACGTGAAGCCGAAAAAGAACTACAACTTAGGTTAGACGCTGGCGAAAAGGACCCAAAAATTGTACAGATTGACTCTACAAAGTCAGACATAACCGCAGTTACAGAAGCCTGGCTGACACAGGCTATAGATAGTATGGAACTTGATTTCGAGGGCTTTACGTTAGTAAGGGCGGATAGAATACAAAAGCGTAAAGGAGAAGGAGTAGCTCTATTCATTAGGAGTGCTATCCCACTTGCCATTATCGACTGTTTATCCCATGAGAGTGTGAATTAGTTAGTCTCCACTTGAAATTCAAGTGACAAGAGCTGCTGATTGGTTTGGTCTATCGTAGTCCAAGCTTTGAGGTAAATGAAGTCCTGCTAAGCAGTCTCAATACTTGGTCACAAAGTGGTCGATGTCTAATCCTATGGTACTTTAATGAATCTATGGTAGACTAGGAAAATCTGCGAACTGAATCGTCAGAAAATTCCTTCGAGCAGGAACTAGTTGATGCGGTTATCACATATGCTCGAGTGCAACACATGAAAGAAGCGACTAGGACACTGAATCATCCTTACTAGATCTGATACTCATTCACTATGTGGATGACGTTGCTAACCTTCATTATATCCCACCCTTAGGTAAAAGTGATTACTCAGTTTTAATTTTCAACTTTCATATAACTGTCAGTCAAGAGCACGCGTCAGCCCAATCCAGACCTAATGTATGGAAAGCGAATATACCAGATATCATACACTCAGCATCGTTAGTAGATTGGACAATAGACCCAGAGTCCTCAGCGGAAACGGCCTGGGACGCATTTCGAAATTCATACCTAAAAGTTACCACACCCCACATCCCTTGGACTATACCAAGATGGCCGAGAAACTCCCCACCATGGTTTAATAGGGAGGTTCGCATTCTTCTCCGTAAGAGAAGAAAAATGTGGGATAGATTTAGGTTACGGGGAACTGATGAAACTAAATCCCAGTATAGAAAAGTCCGGAATACCTGTGCATCGACCCTCCGTAAGTCTAGAAAGTTGTACGAAGAAAAAATTGTTAAGGAATCCATAGACTGTCGTAAACGCTTGTATTCTTATATAAACCAGAGGACAAAGAGAAGAGGAAATATTCCTGCTCTATGGGGAGACAGTACTGCCGCGTCACTAGTGGAGGACGACTTTGGTAATGCACAAGTGTTCTCAAACTACTCTAGCAATGTATACACCATAGAAGCACCCTTCCCATCAGCGCATACAGATCCACCCATACATACACTGGATAGCGTGACCATTAAAGAACTCGATTTCTTTGTTCTACTAAATAATCCATGGGCCCGACGAATTACATCCTAGGCTACTGAAGGAATTATCTAACTTCGTTGCGAACCCTTTAAGTATATGCTTTAACCTATCCGTAACGCAGGGTCGTCTACCTAAAGACTGAAAAAATGTCATAGTAAGTTCTGTCTTTAAAACAGGTACGAAATACAAACCTGAGAATTACCGCCCCGTTAGCCTGTAGTGGCATTGGACCAACTATTGTGGTTGTATAAATCTTAGAAAAGATTATTCGGAAGGAGCTGTTTAAGTATCTCGATAAAAACCGGATCCTTTCGGAGAAGCAGCACGGTTTTAGAGTAGGTTACTCTTGTCTCACTAACTTATTATTGGCTCGTGAAAGCTGGTGCATTCTTAAGGACCAAAAGTTACCTGTAGAAGTAGCCTTCATTGATTTCAGCAAAGCTTTTGACTAGGTTCCTCACAACCGGCTGTTATATAAGTTAAGAAATGTCGGGATTAGAGGCAATCTATTTATGTGGATAAAAGACTTCTTAGTTGGGCGTCAACAAAGAGTTCGGGTGAACTCAAGGTTATCTACCTGGGGAAGTGTGTTTAGTGGAGTGCCCCAGGGTACAGTTTTGGGGCCAGTTCTATTCCTCTTTTGTGTAAATGACCTTCCTCGTCTGATATCATCATCGGTCTTACTATATGCTGACGAAGTCAGGATATGGAGAACGATACGATGTGAGGGTGATAGCTTAGAGCTCTAAAATGATTTGAAGAAATTATCTGAATGGTCTCAAACTTGGCAGTTGCCGATAAATACTTCCAAGTGTGTTGTGATGCATATCGGTCATCAAGGTACAGATACATACACGATGAATAACACTGATCTACCTGTCGTACAGACATATAATGATTTGGGAGTCATCGTTAGCCAAGACTTAAAGACTACTGCAATAGCAGCCAAAGGTTTTAGAACGTTATGGTCAATACGTAGGGCTTTTAGTCATGTCGACGCCAAAACTTTTTTGACTTTGTATACAATGTTCGTGAGTCCTAAACTTGAGTAATGCATACAAACGGCTAGCCTCTGTTTAAAGAATGACGGTGAGTTTTTGGAAAAGATTCAGAGAACAACTAAGCTGATTTCCGGAATAGCGAAGCTTCCGTATGAAGCTCGACTGGCCTAGCTGAACCTTTTCCCGTTGTCATATCGCAGAACTAGAGGCGACTTGATTACAGTTTTCAAATTGCTTAGTGCCAAATTTGCACTTGATGTGCCCTCATTTTTCTTGTCTTCCAAAACAGAGAATTTACGAGGACACTCCAAAAACGTTCACAAGCCAAGAACAAATTACTTGTCAGCTGACTATCAACTTTCTCATCGAATCATCAACGAGCGGAACTCATTACCTCAGTACGTGGTTGAGGCTCCCATCCGTCGATTCTTACAAAAGAAAGTTGGATCAACTGAGGGACCACCATTTGCAGGACTAACACAGGCCATCAAGCCTCCTGTCCTTCCCGAACTGAAACTGAAACTGATTAGGATCAGTACACTTTGATGAATTAGTCACACTATACACCATCAAAGACATGGAGTCCTGTAGCAATGTCAAGGAGCGAATAAATCACATAAGCTTGTCACATAGATATAAAATGTATTGGATACTGGATTGTGAGGACCAAGGACAATATCATACTATGATTTACCAATTTCTTTTCCTCTTTTATTGTTAACATACCTAGGTTCCTGCCTGGAGGATTTGGTGATCCCCTGCTACTAGACACGGAAGCCTGTTAAGCGAAAGCTTCTTCTATTCCGTCCACAACCATTTGAACCATTTGAGTGGTGGCCTTGAAGCAGTTTAAATGTTCGGGATGTGTAACTCGTTCGAAGTCTTACGGCACCATCTGGTTTTTATTTGTAGTCGAATGTTTAGAGCGTATATCAAAGGTAAATCTTATTCCAGTGCCTTTAATTACTGTCAAATATCGTTGATTTATGTCATACTTGTCAATGGGTGTCGATCCAAACCATTAGTACCTATAAACCATCGCACTACAGTCCCTTATAAGGGACTAAATTGATAAAATATAGTATGTCTATACTAACTCACCATAGTACGGCCGAGTTCAGTCTAATTAAAATTCCCAATCAAGATTTTTGTGCTGTGGTTTTATGTGTAAATTGATCAACTATTTGCGAAAGATACGCGTAGGATAACTCATTTCCTCATTATTCCTATGCCTCATTTGTTCTCCTAACTGTAAACCGATTGTATCTTTTTTAATATCTATAAATCACGGAACGTACACAAACTCTAGGTTAAATAGTTTAGGAGGGTGGGTGGGGAGTGTTTTAATGTGTAAATCATGTGTACAGTTATTTATCCACATCCAAACCCATACCCTTTATGTCAAGCTTACACGATTGCCACCCATATCGGCGTACAATGTTACTAGTTACAGAAGTAGGTTGGAAGAAAGCTAGAAGCGATTAAAATAGAATTAAACGCTACTAAGTTATTAACCTTTCGGTCAAACTAGTCGTTGTTGTTAGGACCCGTGCAACAATCATATCCAGAAGTTGGATCATGTTCCAAAATTGGTTTTAGTGACGCAAATACATCAATCTTTTTATTTCCTCTCAAATCCTATGTTTCGTAACCATTTCTTAGACCTCACTATTGAACTATATTCATTGTTTTGTCCTCTTTACCATCATAGACACTATTATTACTTCTACCCAGTGCACTGATCGTGTTTGATATTTTTAGGTTATTGCATATTCGTATCCGGTGAAATTTATTCAAAACTGACCTATTGGAAACTCTAAACAACACAGTCTTTTGTCCCGAATCTAGTTTCTACTTATGAAGTGCTTGTTTTTCATTTTCGGTTTTTCTGACTTTAAGACGTTTTAGCTGATGGCCAAGATATAGCTCCGTCATCAAAAATGTCCAAAAAACTGGGTTGTTATTTTTCTAGATGGAAAGCAAAAAAACGCCCTGCTTTGGTCAAACGTTTTTTCTCAGTTTCTTGTTGAATTCCTGTCCTTTTTTATACCCGTTACTTCTCCCAAAAGAACCCATTCTCTAGATATGATCAATTTATCATTTTCCACTTTCTTTTATTGACACGGCTACAGTGAACTGACTGACTTACATTCTGGTAACATGAACACCAAGTTATATAGCTATCACACTGTCCTACATTAAACGTTATCCCTCACAGAGCAGATTGACTGACAACACTTTCCTAGATCTACTAGAACTTCAGCTGCTGGGTGACAGCTTGCTTTATAGATTGTCCAATCAAAAGTACAAAAACCTATTCCGTTAGTGTTTGTTAAATGCTTTAGCTCTTAAATTTCTTTAGGCTGGTCACAAGGCGTAATATACCTTTGTTAATTTGTGGAGAGCAAAGGTTTAGATTTCCGTACTTATTTTAGGTGATTGTTAGTCAAACCATTTATAATCCCTATCATTGTTTTAAGTGAAAATTCGGGTATATCCATTTATTCGTTTGAATTATCATTGTATCTTATTTCTCACTTACTGCAGAACTAACGGTTGGCTAGTATGGTAGTCGTCACATTTAATATGCAAACATATACAAGATTACAGTTTGGATTTTTTCCTCGTCTTTAAGGATTGATCAGATTTAAAACCTTGAATTAATTCTGTTTCGTTTTAGACGCATTTCACAGTTTCTAAGAAATGATTCGTTTAATTGTCATTGATAGACAACTACGTATCCTGCGTCCAAATGAAAAATTTCCATCATTTTCATGCAGTCAATTGCTATGCATGTTGGCTAAATATGTTATAGTTAAACTTTGTAACTTTGAAAATCCTGGTTTTATATCTGTAGTAAGTTATTATTTTTTATTCCAAAGCATACTTTCTGCAGTATTGGTGTGAATAGATTAGTGCGTAAATGGTTCACAAAGATCAGGTGTTAGTCTTAAATATAAGTTTTCGGATGTAGATCTGAATGTGGTTAGAAGCGTGACCTATTTATTTTTCAAATATTATATATGTATAGCCTCGTACCAAATATTTTAAACTCTAATTTGTACTTTATCACAAATCTCAGTACAATTTACTTTAAAGGCAGCACTATGCTAGTAGTGTTGTTGTTATCAGGCCGGCGGAGTACCAGAATAAACTTGATAGCGCCCTTGAATAAGGATCCTTTACAGAATACTGTTCAATGGTCCTGTAAATTGTAGAACTTAGTCTCACCTCACTTCACTCCTAATCAGTGGTTTACATGTTTTAACCTTTTTGTACCTTCTTAAATTTAGGAAGCTTTCACGTAAACTATCTGACTCATAACTGGAGTGCATAAGCCTGCTACACCAAATGGATTACACTTGTTATTGATGTTATCAGCTGTTATAATACAGTGTTTTTAATGATAAAATTGACTAACGAAATTTTCTCTTTGATGACTTCACTTCTAAAATCTGTACAATCTTATTTCGGCACGATAATCCATGTAATAAAAAGGTTTTATATACCTGTATACGTGAGTATAATGAATGAAAATTATAAGATCTGTTCGTTGGAGGGAAAATTTCTTTGCAAAAATATATGTTCTTACTTAGAATTATGAAATGAATTACCAAAGTTCAGCATCCTGATTTGTTCTCCCTCTACCATTTTATAAGTACTTTTTCGATTCTTAATATAAGTTATAAATGGGAATTCAACATGTTTTTATTTCTTTTTTTAACAGTGCGATACAACAAGCTTGTCTCCTAAAGGATCACTTGGCGCATTTTCCTCTGATATATCTAGCTTGCATAATGCAATTGATCACATTGAACAAACAGCTAAGGTGATGTTCCCTAGTGAATTGACTGCCACATCAATTCTTAACATCTTGAAAGAAGCATATCTGTACTATGGACCATGGTCAAATATTCAAGTGAATACAATATTTATATTTATATATTTAACTGTTAAAATTACGTATTGCAGATATTTAAGTTAGATGAAAATTAAGCACTTAAAAACTTGTCATCAGATGAGCTCCACTTTCGTTTCACATGCTGGTATTTATGTAGCAAGCTCACATTAGGTAGTTTTTATACATCGTGCCCATAACTTTTGGTCTCAAATGCTCTGGTACGGTCGAGGGTGGCGAGAGTCAGCTCTCCTTCTCCAAATGCTCTCACATGGCCACATGTACACAGCCACTACCAAGGAAGTCCTACTCACTGTCTTTACGCCGCGACTGTGTTTACGAAATTGAGAGGATGAAAGGCGAATGTCTGGTGCTTTAACTGGGTTGGTGGACACGACGAATCTACTTAGGGGAGTTGGAAAACCCTGATTACAAACCAATGGTGCACAAGGGTTCCAGGATCCTGAAGGAACAAATGGCATATGAACTTATTATTGATTACCGTTTACCATGGGATCGCACCTCCTAATGTTGTCTCAATGCTTTGTGAATTAGACCTCTAGGTAAAAGGCTCGGGTAATAGTTTCAAAGGTATAGATGATCATTGGTTGTAATTACATGATACCATGAAAATGGCGAGTAAAGTCGCTTGCGGCTTCGCGAAACTGCCGCTTTTAAACACTGAGTTTCTACAGGCTCTTTACAACTTGTTGAAACACGTTGGTCTATTCCAGGTGACCGCAACTTTGACCACAAATAAAAACTGTTGCGCAACGAAATTGTAAAAAGCTTGCCTAAAGGCCGAGAAGTCTGTTGGTTGGAATGTGCCGACGAGTTGGAAGCAGCAGCTGCATTTGGTAACTGCCGGAAGCTCTTTCAATTTATCTGAGTCACTGGCAGCAGGAAGTCTGGCCTGAGTGGAGCAATCTGTGAAGATGACGGGGTGCCAATCAATAACATCTAAGGACGTCTTGGACGATGGGCAGAGTTTTCTGAATAACAGTTTAACTGATCTACTTCCGGGTAACATCGGTCAGACTGTCCTGACCTCCATGGTCTATGACAACTGGTCCACCTAACGATGTGGGAGTCCGCAAGGAACTCCAACTCTTGAAACACCACATCACCAGGCCTAGATAACGTACCTCTGGCCCTTTCTAAAGATAGTGGCGACTTTCTGCTTATGGAATTGACTGATTTATTTACAAAGGTCTAACAATTAGTGTTCCAACATCATGGAATCAGTCGATAGTTGTTCCTATCTTTAAAAAGGGTTCACGTCGTTTCTGCAACAACCTTCGGGGAGTAAGTCTAATTCCGATCGCGTCCAAATTATTGGCTTTCGTCACACTTAGGTTGTTCGAAACCCGGGAGAGATTGGCTCGCGAGGAGCAGACTGGTCTTCGTTCTGGTGGAGGATGTATTGATCATATCTTCACCCTCCAACACATCTTGGAACACCGTCATACATATTACAGACCAACAGTTGTAGTATTTATTGACATTAAGGTCACCGTGGATTCGTTGAACAGGGCTGTTGTCTTGGATTGTTTATTAAGGAAGGGTGTGCCTGAGAAGTTTATTAACACCTTGAAAGCCCTATACGTTAACATCTTAGGCAGAGTGAGGACATACAACCATCTCTCCATTATTCCATTCAAGCAGTGGGGTTAGACAGGGTTGCCCAATCTCACCATTCTCCCTCGACTTTGCTCCCGATGACGTTCTGGGAACGGCTCTGATGGGTGTAGGTAATAGTGGTGTGGATCTGTTGCCTAGAGAAAGATTTATGGACTTTGAGTATGTGGATGATATTGTCTTACTGTGCGACTATACCCAATCCATTCAATCTGCATTTAATCAGTTGGCAATAAGTGTCTGGGTAGCTGCATAAGTACTGGTGGTGGCGTGAGTGATGCGATAAATTCACGTATAGTGAAAGCCAGAACTACTTATGCCAACCTGGATCATGTTGGGCACATTCGTGATGTTAGTCTGTCTGTAAAAGGTCGGATCCACAACGCGTCGGTGAGAGCAGTTTTACTCAATGCTTGTGAGACCTGGCCTCTTCGTATTGCGGATGTCAGGCGACTCTGTATTTGATCATCGTTGTTTCCGAAGGATTGTTGACATCCTGTGGCAACACCATGTTAGTAATGTAGAGATTCGGCATCGTGTGTTTGAGTACAGCGATAATAATTCAGTTTGTATCACTATCTTGAAACATCGGCTTTGGTGGCTTGGACATGTTCTACGAATGTCTTCTTAGAGAATTCCATGCATTATTTGCAACACTGGGACCAGTTGGAAGAAGCGGAGAGGTAGTCAGTGTATGACATGGTGTCGTGTTATAAAAGAAAGCTGCACAGGAATGGCTTCTGTCGGACGTACATGGTTTCTTGATTGGGGTCCCAGAGATGGTCCAATACAGTGACTAGAGACGTTATCAGACATGGCTCCTTCATTTCCAAACCAATCACTCTCTGTTCTCGTTCTCTTTTCCTCCATCTTCTTAAACTTCCGCCGCCAGACATTCCACTTCCTATTGGTGCTACGTACTACTTATATCTGTCGACGTCTGTGGTACTTGCCTTAGCAATTCCAACTCACTGTGCTAATGTGGTATGATATCTTCGGTTGATGCATATACATTCCAAGTTCGACGTTGCTTATGGTTGAACGACTGTTTTTAGAATTACAGATAACATATTTCTGGTAGATTGGTTTGGATCACATTTTGGAATTCATTGAATTAATCTAGATTAAAATTAAGTGTGATGACTTAAATCGATCATTCTAATAAAAATAATTATCATTATTATGACTTTCAATTTTACCGAATCATTACTGTGATTATTGCGCAATATTAGTAGTGTAGTGAACAAGAACATCAGTGGGGACAATTGAATGTATTTAACACAAAATTACATGACTTGTTAATAAAATCTAACACTCATAAAGCAAATGCTTAATTTGCAAAATGTCCATCGATTGTCTCAAAATGATTCAGACTTCATTGTTCTTGCATTTTCATACAAATTGCATCATGTTTCCATTCTTTACTGTTCGATCCCTTTGTCTCTCCGCTGCCAGACCTGTTCACGACTAGCATCATATACTACTTATGTCAATATAAGTAGCACACACCACAGTAGTACATAGATTATTTGTTATTATTTAGATGAATATTCATATATGAAGTTGAATTTTTGTTTTTTTTTCTTGTTGTATTCCTCAGGTTTTATTATTTACAGATGGAGGATCTTCTTACTTCACTCATTCCTCTCTTACTTACCCAGTAGATTTTCCCAAAAGTCTATTTAATGATACTTCAATTTTGTTCATTAGTTTGAGTGATAAACAGGTGAGTGGAACTTCTCCAGTTGATATATACATGTACATATTTCTTGACAAATTTATGATCAAGCAACTTAATGGTTTGGGACTGTCATTTTTTTCTGCTTTTAAGCTTTACAAATTATTTCCTTATGTTCAGTATTCACTGAGTACTGGCCAATACCATATTTGTCTAGTTCTTAGTGCAAATTGAATTCTATCGATCAAGTTACTATGTGGCAACTATTCTAAATGGCTAAATATATTGTGTACTATGTTGAAATGTTAGGTGGTAGTTGGAGGTAGTCAACAGGAAACCCTAGACCCAAGTTTTATCGTATTTGACGTCCGTCAGCAAACGTACGCTTGGATTCCTGAGTCTACTGATTCTTCCTGTAGGATTTGAGCCCCGGCTTTGTGGTCTCATGTTCTGAGACATTGACTCTGATCTACTAGTTAATATTTTGCTAAACAATGAAGTTCGTTAAAATAACTTTGACACTTAAATTATTGTGATCCAAATATTGTGCTAAAAGATTAGATGATTTTTTAAATTCCCAACATTGAACGCCTTATTCCTACCTTCTTGTTAAATACTGATTTTAATTTTAATTTTATCCTGAAGGGGGAGTTCAACTTTAACGTCCATCTGTCTCAATTACGCTTAATGATAAAGGTGTACCATTAAATGAGTTTGGCATCAAACTAATTAATTTGTTTGAACAATATGGTACAAAGGTGCACCAAAATGTATATGCACTACACAGAGTAGTTATTATTAGGTTCGAGAGCAAGGATACTGTGCGGTTATACCCGAACCGAAGCAGATAGTTTTCTTAGGGGACCATACCCGGAGCTTTTGACCTAGAAGTCTAATCCACAAAGCATTGGGACAATGTTAGGAGATGCGATCCCATGGTAAACGGTAATCAATAATAGGTTCATATGTCATTTGTTCCTTCAGGATCCTGGAACCCTTGTGCACCATTGGTTTGAAATCAGGGTTTTCCAACCCCCCTAAGTAGATTCGTCGTGTCCACCAACCCAGTTAAAGCACCAGACATTCGCCTTTCGTCCTCTCAATTTCGTAGACACAGTCGCGGCGTAAAGACAGTGAGTAGGACTTCCTTGGTAGTGGCTGTGTACGTGTGGCCATGTGAGAGCATTTGGAGAAGCAGAGCTGACTCTCGTCACCTTCGACCGTACCAGGGTATTTGAAACTTAGTATCAATCAATTTCGACTATCCAATCATAAGCCCAGTGTAGCTAATTTAACAAATCTTACACAACTATCTTCGTCGGTATTGCACAATTACATGAAAAATTGTTATGAACTGATAAATCACTTTTCTTATAGATTTATGTATATATTGTTGTAACCCCTCGATAATTTTTTCAAAAAATTTTCAAAAGCCAGGAAAACTGAAAATACCTCGACTAACTCCCAAATGAATTCCAGCTAATGATGTATTATTTTTCCATTATGCTGACTTGACAATTATTGGTTTGTTAGAGAAATTTCTAAAACTCCAAGATAATATTTAATCCTATAAATAAGCTTGTTGTTTTGCAAATGAACTAACCCTAAAAATAAAGCTTCTCTGCCTTTCGGATTTTGTTTTTCCGTGGGATTCATTTATTTATTCATTTTAACACATAGATATTGATACAAAGAGGCACTAAATACATATGCGCCACACAAATCTCATTCGATATGTGTGAGGGCTGTGATACTGCCCGGGTGCCCAAACCGAAGCAGATGGTTTTCTTAGGGGGCTACACCCGGAGCCTTCGACCTGAAGGTCTGATCCGCAAGGCAGTAGAGCATCGTGGGGAGATACAGTCCCATGGAAGCTGGTGAACAACAATTGGTTCGTACGCCATTTGTTCCTTCAGGATACTGGAGCCCATGCGCACCGTTGGTTTGGAATGAGGGTTTTCTAACTCCCTCAGGTGAACTCTCTATGTCCACCAACCCGGTTAAAGCGCCGGACATTCGCTTTTCATAAACAACACCCCCGCCACGAGAAGGCAGTGAGTAGGACTTCCCCAGCAGAGGCTATATACGCGTGGCCATGTGAGAGCATTTCGAAAGGGAGAGCGGACTCTCCCCACTCTCGGCCGTACCAGGGCATTTGGGGGCAGCCACCTGCTGGGAGTGGGGTTCAACAATAGAAAATTACTGAAGACTTACTAAGAAGTCCGGAGTGTCTAAGCATACACATAATAAAATGTAATCTTATACACACAGTTCAATCTAATCATTAAACATAATTTCTGTGATAATTTTACCTCTGTTTTGTTTTTAATATTTTTCATACACCACCGAATTGAATTAGCCTTTCAATATTTATATGTATAAAACTTATTTTCATTTGTAGTTACTGATATTATCAAGATTCTCTGGTCATTTTTGTTTGTTTTAGTTATCTAACGATCTAATGGAATTATATAATCAATTTCACTTGAAATCAATAATTTTCGAAGCCAGCAAATACGTTTCAAATCTTGAAAGTTGGTTCTTTATTCAATTGTTCAGCATTATTCACTTTTATTTTCTATAAATAGCATATACTGTCGAATTATATATAGATAACTTAGCTAAACATATTATTGAACATTGTCAACCGAATCAATTAATGCCAAGTGTAATTATCAATTGTGGACGTCTTCGAAGTATGGCAGTTTTATTACCATCTCCAGGTGTTCATTCATTCACTGGGTAGGTAACTGTTTTTGATTTATCTTTCTCACGTCATATATAATTGGAATAGTTATCATTTACGAAAGTTGTGGAGATTGTTGAATTTTATTAAAATCACAAACTAATCTCAGACAATTGTTGAGAACGTCAAAGGACTGAATAACTGAGATTCTTTGGCAGTACACATTCACTACCGTGTCGGATTTAAGTAAGGTATCCATCGAAGACAATGGAAGCTGGTCGCGCAATATTGCAGATTAATTGGAGGAGTTTAGTGGTTAGGTGTTTGCACGAGGATACCAAAGTTCTTGTGTTCGTTCTTCAGTAGGGGGGTTTAAGATGGCCACTGTTTAGGAGTTCCATACTAAGACTAAATAGGTGTCCATTGCTTTCAGGTCTTCAATGGTTGCCTAACTATGGTCAGTTTGTGATTTAAATAAAATTCCAATGATGTCTATAATTTTGAATTGATGACTAAATCGCTATTTAAGGTTAATATATTATTTGTTAAACCAGAGAATGCAATTATTGTACGGTGTAATACTGATATCAGTATTTCGTTAGATTATTATATGAGTAATGTAATTAGATGAATAAAATAACTGGTTAAATGAATAAATAATGTATGCATAACAAGTAATTCACCAGTGTGGTTATTTAGGTATTTATAGATAAACCGATGATGTTCACTTGATTTGGGGAGCGTATGTGGAAATATGGCTCACTTATTTGAAGGTTTTAAACCAGTTTATGGGGCGAGTGATGGTTGAAACATTCGGTTTACAATCAGCAGTAGGTCACAGATTCGAACATCTCCTACGCTTAATTCTTATTTGTGGTGTTCGATAGTATCGTTTGTCGTTGCATAAACAATGTGGCACAATGCTGAGTCAAATATTTTACCTTAGACCACACAATGTTATTTTTAAAAAAGTTCAACAGGTATTATGTGTCTGTGTTGAAGTTTTCCTACAACACTAACTCATCTAGACTGACAAGTTGCGTTTATTTCAAAGATTGATACTATAATTTAATATATTACTATGTCTAAATATTGTTATTATTGATAGATTGAATGATTTGACGAAAAATTCCCTTTGTGTGGAGATCTTCGGTTTCCTTAATCTCAGCGATTTAAATAATCCACCAGTAAATGGACGTTTCACAGTGGTTAGTCGAACAGGTGATTTATCATTTTAGTATGTATGTTTCACATCATTGGGTTGTGTTACTTTTTGATCCATTTTTAGTACAGTCTTATTTGTCCGTTTAATCGGGTCACTTGATTATAGTATCCACTAATTATGGATTCGCTTATGTCAATCGGTCAAGTGGTTTTCCATTTTGCTAATAAAATGCAGTAACTGGACATCTTAACTCCTGTTGGTCCATTCAGCTCCTCTAATATGTAAGTGAGCACTCATTAACATAGGTCATTTCAATTGTCAATAACTTCATGGACTAGTGTCATGTTTTGCTTTGCCCGCTACTATACCAGACAACATCGCCCGTCGAAGCAGGTATTGAGTAGAATGTTTATCATGAAATAATGATATATTTTCTATGTTATCCAAATGAAACGAGTAGAAATTTGAGCTTCTGACACTTCATGACTTAGTATAAGCTACTTCTTCAAAAAATGAAAATAAATAAATGAATTACACTAACATAAGTTTAGATCGTACAAAAATACAGAGAGAAAAAATATTTTTAGTACAATCAAAATCGGTTTGATCATGTTAATAACATGTCATTCCGGATAAGGTGGCCCTGGTACGGCCGAGAGTGGGGAGAGTCCACTCTCCCTCTCGAAATGCTCTCACATGGTTACGCGTATATAGCCTCTGCCAGGGAAGTCCTACTCACTGCTTTCTCGTGGCGGGGGGTGTTGTTTATGAAAATGAGGCGCTTTAACCGGATTCCAAACCAATGGTGCAGCACACGGGCTCCAATATTCTGCGGGAACAAATGGCGTATGAACCAATTATTGGTCACCGGCTTCCATGGGACTGCACCTCCCCACGATGTTCTTTGGTACGAGTCATGATTTCTTGGGAAAACTATTCAATGCAAAATCCTTCGCTACATATATATCCTAGTTTGTTGACATAATTCTGTGTCGAAATGATGAAGGATTTTATCTTTCTTATTTGAATTAAAGCATTTTTATAGAAAGCTTTATGTATGGATTTAAGGATGTCATACTTGTTGTTCTATGACAGTATATTAGGACTACATTACCAATGCTGTAATGGACGTTACTTAAAAGATTGCTTGTAAATATTATGTTGCGGAACGTGGCCTTGAAGTTTTAGGACAGAGTGATGAGTTTCAATACAGCGTAAACATGGCGTTGGCAGAACACTTAGAGACTAAATAAGAAGATAGTTCAGTTTGCATAACACACCGGAAGATGCAAATGGATTTTTGAAGGTCACGTATATGTTTTACTCTTTGTAACTTCTCATCATAAATATAGATCCCTTCTGTCTATTGTCTTCTATTACAATTCATGATAGTTCATCCAGTTTATTATTACTGTTTAATAAGAGAATATTTCGTTTACGTATATATGTATAAGAATATTCACAGGGGAAAGTTGATTAATCGTAGAATGTTGACTACTTGTGTTAATTTAATTCACTTATTTATTTTCACTCTGAAGAAGTGACTTACACTACTCTATAAGCTCAAATATCTACTCATTGGGATGGTATCCATAAGATTATATTATACCGACGACTTTCAGTAAACCAAATCAGAATTAAAGCTAACGTTTCTAGGTTTATATATAATTTTTCAAACGCAGTCGCAGATAACCTGTTACTTGTACAGATAATATTGATAAGATTACACATTAAGGCCGGTTTAGAAGGCGATTCAATAGTACAGCACTTGCAGGTGATCTGTCTTCTGAGAAACTGTTTTATTTGATTGTGGTCAGGAAATAAGATGCCTAGATATCGAAGACTCAAGAGACGAGATTATTTTACTCTGCATAAGTTGCTGGTCGAAGAAATCTATAAAGCATGATACATTCTTTGGTTAGTTAAATCTGTCACTAGAAAATAATGGTTTTAATGTTTAAATGGATTATCGGAACCCAAGTCACGACGGATTCAGCTCTAGCAGATATAACTCGTGTTTTTGCAGTTTAGTGGTAACAGTACTGCATAGATTTAAGGTCTAGGAGTTCTAGAGTTTGGAAGTTTTCAGATTCATTGGTCGTATCAATGCTCCTAAATCTCTGTGATTTTGACATTCCTTTGCATTTGGCTAGATTTTGACTGGTTGTTTTTCAAGACCATCTCCAAAGTCGCTAAAGGTCGTCGGTATTGCATAGTCTTGCCATTGTATCAAAAATACATAATTGTTTCATTATTATTATCACTCTTACTATTGCTGTTATTATTATTACTATTATTATTCTAAAATTCTTGTCTCTTATCACTTACACGATATTGATTTTACTAGATCCATCTGATCCTGATCTTCTCTATCTACTTTTGCGATCATTACAAAATACAAAAACTGTTGCCATGTGTAATATTTATATTGTAATGAATAATCAATTAGCTCAGTCAATCAATTCAAGTACAGTTTCAGTGTTGGATTCACACAATTCATCTAAACGTAATCTTCAACAACAACAGTCTGGTAAAAATTCACCGAACCATACTCTTTGGAGTCATGGTTACTTGCATCATATTGATATGAAGCAATCAATTTTAATGTTGTCAGTATTTGAACGAGGTTTGTTGTTGTTATTAATCCAAATAATTTGATAATATTTTGATACGTCACATAGATTTCAAGCAGAAATATGAATACATGAAGGTTGAGACCATAATTTACGAACGACCGAAGTGACCCTGGGAAAATTTACTAACCCACTACGGCCTAAAGTGGGTTATAAAATAGTGTGAGAAATCAGAATTGGCGTTTATAGTTCGAAGCTAGTGTTAGGAATTGGATTTACGGTCTTCATCACATACTGACATCAGCTAAATGGAAGTGAAGACGGAGGTTGATTCTAAATACAGCGGTCTTGAGTGCTGTTAGAGGTATGAGGGCAGTTACTTGTTGAGACCTTACCGCCGGAGACGGATATCCGTGGGATAAGGTGAGGTGTGCATTTTAGGGTCGATATTTTCTAACTCCACCCCTCCTTGTGAGAGGGCAGCATCGCTGTCATGCTGGTTGTCTGAAGGAAACACCTTACTGCTGTCACACCTCTGTACAGTCAGCAGTACGACTTCGCCTTCGGACCTTGGGTTTGTTGCTTTTAGTCTTACCGCTCTTCAACCGATGCAGACTACTTGGTTGGGGTTCGCGTGACTATCGTAACCAATGATTGGAGACTCTGAGTGACATGGCTCAGAATCGATCACAATGGCATCGGTGTATACACCCCCTTAAACTAAGAGATTAAAATCGCTTCATATCTTTCTTTCTACGAACTAATTCTTTCTTCCTGTACTATATCCTTACTGCAATCTTTCTTTTATATATTACCACCACTGAATTAACTACTTTTATGAATCCGGTGTTCATCTTGTTGTGTTAATGAGGTATGGCAACTTGGGCCGATGCATATATGTGCCTGGTCCTACGTTGTAGCTGACTGACTGACATCAGCTAAAATACTATTTAGCCATATGAATGAATGAATTAGTCACTGCCCAGTGATCAATCATTTTAAATACATCTTAGATCAGTCATGGCCCAAAGAGCTGAGTAGTAACGTATGTGACTGTAAAGCTGCGTGATACGGGATCGAATCCATGAGGAAGCACTAGTTCCCTCAGGATTACAAGCACACCTGGGCACCACGTCTCAAATAGTACAAAACCTAGGTCAAGTAGGGTATTTTGTCGACTATTTCCAATCTCCACTTTAATTCAGTCATATATATTGCAGAATGTTATCAAACTAAACGATTGTCGTTGAATGGGAAGTCGTAGTGAAATAATCATTATAAGGAAAATCCAACATGAATCAAACAACTAGATACAATCGATAAACACTTAAAGTTAATGCATATAAATCACGAAAATGCTTTGAAAGTTGACTAGACAAAAACCAACTTAAATCAATGTATGAAATAACGAATGTGTATCCCCCCGGCAATTAATTAATCTTTTTCTGTTTTTGGATTGTTTCATTTCCCAATGACTTTTTGTTTTTATTTCAGAATGTACTGGTTTACCTTGGCTTGGTAATTTTAGTCATTTAGCACCTGTAACAGATTTTGCCGGTTCTCAATTATACGATGATAAAAATGAAACTTCACCATTCCCTGTTCGAACACCGGATCATTTGAGTTATAAAATTGGTATGTGTTTACACTGGGGTTTTTTCATCATTCCTTTGGCTTATTTTTCTATCAATCTGTATTGTGCAATGGCTAATCAGATTTATGTGATATAAATGTGGACAATTATACATTAGTTAAGCTAGGAGTTGACTAACAACCATATATATCTATTGTACAGATCAATTGTTCAAACACTCGCAAAACTTATTGAACTGGGTTGCTATAACACCTACATATGCTATATTTATTGACCCGAGATCTGACTCCAGGTAGATTGTTTGCTACTTGTTATCGATGTACATATTCCGCCAATCTTTGTATATAATTATCGACTTAGTGAATAACGGAATTGAGATAAGTCAAATACGAGAATGAAGTTTTGAATACGTATATTTTATACAACCGTTGATCCGAACAGGCAATCAGAAAATCGTATCGAAGAGGAGAGAGCAGAGCGAAACAAAAGGACGCACAGTGGAAAGGGCGAGTGAGCCAACTCAATGTTGCCAAGTTTGAATCGATATTTATAGTCAGATAAAAAGTTACAGATATATATGATTGAGATAAGAAAAGCACACACATACGCTTACATAAAAACAGTCAAGGTTGATAAGCAAATAAGTAACAGAGTAAAAACGGGGCTTGAGAAGAATGGATAGATTGATCTGTCCAGAGGCTAGTATGACTTATATGGGCTTGACATGATATCAGCTCCTTCAGTTCATCTAACTCATAATTGGTGTCCATGTTCGATCTGTACACAGTTTGCTTCTTTGACATCCTGAAAACTAGTCTACACAACTCGGTTTAAAATAGTGATTTTTATGACTCGCCTAATGTTAAACTTCTGGAAACTACTTCGAAATTAGGTTCAGTTTGATCTACGATAATTTCCGATTACGATTAATTAAGATTGTTTTATTACGATGAAATTTATTGCGCTCTTGGCAATACAGCAACTGACATACGTAACATTTTAACAATAATCTCTAAAAGCGGGGACTCAGAAACCATCTGATAGACTTGGATGGAAATCCTCAGCAGAACATGTCCGAAATTCTCGGATGCGGAGTCGTGAGTGAGGACTATTGAGTAGTCTTATACTAGGATGAAACAACCGTTCAATGCTTCCCAGTTTTTCAATGGTGATGTCTAGTTAAAATCTATAATCTCCACAAACAACCCTCCTTATACAAATATGGTTTAGAAAAACGTGTTATTTCAGTTATTCGTCACAGGAAAGAAATTGATATTTACCAACGAAATATTGAATAACTTGAATTCATTCTAACTCCTTTATAAATCTTATGACTGAACACTTGGATGTGTCTCCTAAGTTCTTCCAATAACACCAGGCTAAATCTACACGACGAATCGAACACGAAAGAAAAGGCATGAGATGTATGCAAACTCTTTACTCCAAGCTTAGTTTACGTACAAAAAATCGAGGGTATTTATGGCATTTCGGATGACTTTGGGCTTCTGGAATCCTACGGAATATAGTAACAGGATGGGGAATCATCCCATCAGAAGTGTGGCACGTGACTCTTCACTATCTAGATGTTTCTGAGGAACTTCTGTTGAATGCTGATTGAATAGAATGTTTCCTAGCGTTTTCAGGACCCCTCTGGGCTTTATTCGAGGATCTCCTCAACACTCCTTATCTAACTTTCATTTCTCTTACCCATTTCTCATTTAACAGTTTATCTGATTTATAGTGATAATAATGATTAGGGGGTTCGTTTTTAACTCTTTTTTTCTTTTCAAAAAATGTTTTAATAAAGATGGTTCACGTTATGTTTCTTGGGCATCACAGTCAGCAATGCTTATGGATATTAATAAAGTGCTTCGACTAAGTCGGCGCCTGCCGGATAAATCTGCATTGCTTTATAAAGTAAGTGAATTCGTTGTTTTAATTAATTGTGTAATTTTTTGAAGAATAATTAAATGAAATCGATCAACGTGCCTGCTGCTAATGATTAATTAAGTGCAATTATTGTGAACTAAGCACATAATTTTGAATTTGACTAGGGTTAATTGAGTTTTGTATAACCATTCAGGTCAACGCGTCGGTGTACTCAACATTTCGACGAGGAGCGGAGCACAGACTGCGACAAAGAGGGAAAGCGGTGAACAGAATGGCTGTCTTCCTCTTCGCCCAGTTTTAGATATGTATAATTCGCCTTATCAAAAAACTGCAAAGTGGTTAGATCGAATCCTAGATCCCTTACACAAACTAACCATCATCGGAAGCGTGGAAGATGTCTTCGATTTCATTTCTAAAGTGGAACATATGAACTTAAACAGGAAACAGATGATATCTCTAAATATTGCTTCCCTGTTCACCAATGTACCTTTAACAGAAACTATTGACTTTGTGTGCCAACATCTACATGAAAAACAAATTCTCACTGTTCAATCTGATGTTATTGTTCTTTTTCATTACAGGAATTAAATCGACTTCGTTTTGCAGCAACTGTTTATGGATGTCCAGAATTGTTATTACAAATTCATTCAATGATTATGTCTATTCATCATCAGTCAAACAATAATAATAATAATAGTGATAATAATAATACTGTTGTTACTGGATCTAATGAACAAACAAAATCATTACAAACTTGTTTAAATAATGTAACTGATATATTACTTAAACAAGAATCATATACAAATGATATCTTGTCACCTGATAAAAGGAAACTATTCTAAATAATAAGTTAATGATGAATTGGTTGATTTATTTTGTTTTAATAATTACATGTACATATATGTAAAAAAGAAGTATATATATATATTTATATCAGAAGGGGTTTTGTGGAGATTTTAAAAAAATTTCACTAGTTGAAATCATGAGTCAATTGAAGTTAGATCACCATGAAAAACCTGGAAACACTGGACGGCCATACTGGAACGAAACGGTTTTCCAGTGCTTTCAGGTTTGCCACGGTGATCTAGCTTCAATTAACTCATGATTTCAACTAACGATATATATATTTATGTTTAGTATCAGATGGGTTTTGTGGATATTATAGTAATTTTAATGGTTAAGATCATGAGTCAGTTGAAGTTGGACCACCATGGAAAACCTGGAAGCACTGGACGGCCGTTTCGTTCTATTGTGAGACTCCTCAGCGGTGCGCATCCTCGACCTCGCCCCCTGCGAGATTCGAACCCAGGAAGTGCTGGTTTCGCGCGCGAGCACTTAACCACTAGACCATTGAGCCGGAACCCAACGGTGTAAATGTCTAGCTTCAACCAATCCACGGAATTGAGCGACACATCCACCATTGTCTGCAGTGAGTTGCTATCTCACAACAGACTCAGTTGAATTCCACTGATCACTGCTTCTCACTAAAACTCCAGGAAATACCTCTTGGAGACCATCACTAATGAGCATACGTTGATTAATATCAGGTGGATTTTGTGGAACCAGTAGGTCTTGGGTTCGAATCTCGCAGGGGGGCGAGGTCGAGGATGAGCACTGCTGAGGAGTCTCACAATAGAACGAAACGTTTGAATCTTCTCATTGATGTTCAGGACTATTACAGTTTTGATAAAGTTTTATTTTTTGAACTGGATGATTTAGTCGTGGATAACAATGAAAGCTTCATGATCAAACTATCCAACTTAGAGAATAAAACTCTACCAAAATCATCGACCTGACCTATAAATCTTCTCCATCACCTCATTATTACAATTAATTAGTCTCTTATTGATATATGTGTATTCTATACGGATTGTTTCGATAATTGCCATTAAGTTACAAGTATTTACAATAATTGTTATGATAAGAAAACTATTTTCATGTTGTAAGAATGTTTTTCTAATAACTATTTTCGCCATTTAGTTACATTATGCTAGTTGAACTACGATTAAATTTGTAGATTGATAATAATCTTCCGGTTATTCATAAATTCATTATCTATTCAGGTCTTTTTAGGTTGTTTATTTAAGAGTTGTGCAAGGTTTCAAAACATCTAATCACACAATCTATCAAGTAATTCTAATTGATGAAGTTTGTTGACTGGGATGGAGTTGAGTATGATTTTTCCTAGTTAAGTAGGATACAGTTTATATTTACATTTTGCAAATAAGCGTTTGGTATAATCTGAAGCATACAAAATTTTTATTTATTTCAACACATAGATATTGGTACAAAGAGGCACCAAATACATATGCGCCACACAAATCTCATTCGATATGTGTGAGGGCTGTGATACTGCCCGGGTGCCCAAACCGAAGCACGTGGTTTCCTTGGGGGGCCACACCCCGAGCCTTCGACCTGAAGGTCTGATCCACAAGGCAGTGGAGCATCGTAAGGAGATGCAGTCCCATGGAAGCCGGTGACTAACAATTGGTCCATACTCCATACGCCCCCGAACGCCCTGGTACGGCCGAGAGTGGGGAGAGTCCGCTCTCCCTCTCGAAATACTCTCACACGGCCGCGCGTATACAGCCTCTGCCAGGGAAGTCCTACTCATTGCCTTCTCGTGGCGGGGGTGTTGTTTACGAAAATTAGAGGACGAAAAGCGAACGTCCGGCGCTTTAACCGGATCACAAACCAATGGTGCACATGGGCTCCAGTATCCTACGGGAACAAATGGCGTATGAACCAACTGTAGGTCACCGGCTTCCATGGGACTGCATCTCCTTACGATGCTCCACTGCCTTGTGGACCAGACCTTTAGGTCGAAGGCTCGGGGTGTGGTCTTCTAGGAAAATCACCTGCTTCGGTCTGGGCACCCGGGCGGTATCATAGCCCACACGCAAACAATGAACTCTATGACTACGGCAACTACCTTTCTCGATCCGATTAACAATCAATCAATTCAAATAATTATCATTACTATTATTGTCATTATTAATACTATTATTATTATTACCATTATTGTCATTATTGTTATTATTATTATTACTATTATTATTATTATTATTTTCCACATTATTCACCCTCTTTTATACTTATACAGCGGCTCGTCTTTGGTGGAAATTCGCCTGTATCTAAACGTTCTCGAGTCACTGTTCGGTTGAAAATTGTATGTTACCACCGAATACGAGAACTGAAGCAGTTTTTCTGAAACCACGTGCACCATTCAAACTGGCTGCCTTCAACGTTCGCACACTAATGCAGGTCGGACAACAGATAGGGCTGGCTATGTCTTTGGAAAGTCTCAATATTGATGTTTGTTGTCTATCCGAGACCCGTATTCAAGACTCTGGCGAAGTACTACAAATTCGATCTCCATCTGTCGCTTCGAAAAGCTTGTTTTACGTGCGCTTATCCGGGGACCCTGTGGCATCTTCGTCTGGTCTTGCTGGCGTTGGTGTCGCACTAAGCGCTAGAGCTGAGGCAGCACTAGTCGATTGGATCCCCATTAACAGTCGGTTATGTGCTGTTAGATTAGAAAGTTCCATCAAAGTGAGAAGAAATCGGCGTGAGAAACGATGTCTTTTCGTCATCTTCGCCTATGCCCCGACAGATTGCAGCCCGGATGCAATCAAGGATGAGTTTTACCACCAGCTGTCTGTTCTTCTCCAGAAAGTGCGCTCGACAGATATTGTAGTACTAGCCGGAGACTTGAATGCTCAGGTCGGGCGTCTAGGCACAGAAGAGAGTCGTTTAGGTGGCCGATGGGGACTCGTTGGTCGCAGGTCAGATAACGGGGACCGTCTACTGCAACTTTGCACAGACCACAACCTGTTTTTGGCTAGCACTAACTTTCGGCACAGTCATCGCCGATGTGCCACCTGGCGTCCTCCCTCTGCATCCCAAGCCTGGACTCAGATTGATCACATCGCGATCAGCTACCGCCGGCGTGGTTGTGTAAAAGACTGCCGCTCCTTTTGGAGTACCTATCTGGACTCTGACCATGCCTTGGTCTGCGCCAATCTTGCCTTACTTTTCAGTGGACAACGAAGTGACCGCCATCAAAGGATTGATATTAGCAAGCTGGTTGCAACCTCTGTTGCAAATAAGTATCGAACCGAGCTAGCTTCTAGGCTAGCTACCACTCCACCGAAAAATATAGATGAGCATTGGTTGCAATTGCATGACGCCATGAAAATGGCGGGAACAGTCAGTTGTGGGTTTGCGAAACGTCCCGCTTATAAGCACTGGGTTTCTTCTGGTTCCTTACAACTTATTGAAGCCCGTCGGTCGACTCCGGGTGACCGTGAGTTTGACCATAAACGAAGGATGTTACGTAAGGAATTTGGGCAAAGCTTGCGTAAGGACCGAGAAGCCTGGTGGTCGGAGCGTGCTAATGAGCTGGAAGCAGCAGCTGCATCTGGTAACTACCGGAAGCTCTTCCAGCTCATCCGAGCCACTGGCAGCAAGAAGTCTGGTGTGAGTGAAACAATCTGCGAGGATGATGGGATACCAATCACTAACATCCATCGACGTCTTGGACGATGGGCAGAATTTTTCGAAGGGCAGTTCAACTGGCCTGCTGCTCCGGCAACATCGGTCAGACTGTCCTGCCCTCCATGGCCGGTGACGACTGATCCACCAAACGAGGAGGAAGTCCGCAAGGAACTCCAACTCTTGAAGCGTTACAAATCACCTGGCCCAGATGACTTACTTCCGGCTCTTTTTAAAGATGGTGGTGACTTTTTGACTAAGGAATTGACGACGTTGTTTACAAAGGTTTGGGAACTAGAGAGTGTACCAACGTCATGGAATGAGTCGATAGTTGTCCCTATCTTTAAAAAGGGTTCACGTCGTTCCTGTAACAACTATCGGGGGATAAGTCTACTTCCGATTGCGTCCAAGCTATTGGCTTCCGTCATACTTCGTAGGTTGTTCAAAACCCGAGAAAGATTGACTCGCGAGGAGCAGGCTGGGTTTCGTTCTGGTCAAGGTTGTATTGATCATATCTTCACTCTCCGCCAAATGTTAGAACATCGCCATACTTATCAAAGGCCAACAATCGTAGTGTTTCTTGACATCAGGGCTGCCTTCGATTCGTTGGACAGGACTGTTCTCTGGGATTGTCTATTGAAGAAGGGTGTGCCTGAGAAGTTTATTAACATCCTAAAAGCCCTATATAAAAACACCTCAGGCAGAGTGAGGGCATACAACCACCTCTCTCCATTGTTCTATACGAGTAGTGGGGTTAGGCAGGGTTGCCCAATCTCACCATTCCTCTTCAACTTTGCCATCTATGACATTCTGGAAACAGCTCTGATGAATGTAAGTAATGGTGGTGTGGATCTGTTGCCTGGAGAAGGACTTCTCGACCTTAAGTATGCGGATGATATTGTCTTACTGTGCGATAATGCCCAAGGCATGCAATCCGCACTTAATCAGTTGGCAATCAGTGTCCGTAGGTATGGTATGTGCTTTGCACCTTCGAAGTGCAAAGTACTTCTACAAGACTGGTAGGATTCCAATCCTGTACTCACCCTGGATGGTGAGCAGATAGAAGTAGTCGAGAAGTTCGTGTATCTGGGTAGCTGCATAAGTGCTGGTGGGGGTGTGAGTGATGAGATCAATGCACGTATAGTGAAAGCCAGAGCGGCTTATGCCAATCTGGGCCACCTTTGGCGCCTTCGTGATGTTAGTCTGGCTGTAAAAGGTCGGATCTACAACGCGTCGGTGAGAGCAGTTTTGCTCTATGCTTGTGAAACCTGGCCTCTCCGAGTTGAGGACGTTAGACGACTCTCTGTGTTCGATCATCGCTGTCTCCGAAGGGTTGCTGACATTCAGTGGCAACACCATGTCAATAATGCAGAGGTTCGGCATCGTGTGTTTGGGCACAGAGATGATAATTCAGTTGGTGTCACCATCTTGAAACACCGACTTCGGTGGCTTGGACATGTTCTACGAATGTCGTCCCAGAGAATTCCACGTCGTGCATTATTTGCCGACTCTGGGACTGGTTGGAAAAAGCGGAGAGGTGGTCAGTGCATGACATGGTGTCGTGGTATGAAAGAAAGCTGCAAAGGACTGGCTTCTGTCGGTCCTTCACGACTCCCTGGTTGGGGTCTGAGAGATGGTGCTACACAGTGGCTAGAGACGTTATCAGATATGGCTCAGAATAGAAGCCAGTGGCGATCCTGCTGTAACCTTCTTTTACTTTCTTCATAAAAAGTGGTTGTGTCTCCCTTACTTGAAAGATTTCTTCTGATTGTACCTTTCCGTTCCATTGTTACGACCACACTACCTTTCACCAATCTCTTCGTTATCGTTCTCTTTTTCTTTTGTGCTCCTTAGTTTTTTTTTCTCTCTCTTCGAATTTTCATTGTTTTGTGTGGCGCATATATATTGGCGCTCTCTTGTACCAATATTTATGTGCTCAAATAATAATAATAATAATAATAACTCCATTTGTTCCTTTAGGATACTGGATCCCATGCACACCATTGGTTTGGGATCCGGTTAAAGCGCCGGACAATTCGCTTTTCGTCCTCTCATTTTCATAAACAACACGCATGGTGTGAGAAGGTGGTGAGTAGGACTTCCCTGGCAGAGGCTATATACACTTGGCCATGTGAGAGCATTTCGAGAGAGAGAGAGCAGACTCTCCCCACTTTCGGCCGTACCAGGGAATTTGGGGGCAGTAAACCTAGAAATACATAAGGTTCTTACCTATTTTTTCCCTCTTTAAAATAGTAAGTGACCTCTCAGTAAAAGACATCACTATATAGTTTATTATTAAGTAACTGAGCAATGGTAGCCGAACTCAATCTTACCAGAGATTTATATTGTCCCACGATCCACAATCATAACACCCCTTAGTGTTACTATGAGACATTCATATCTCTGGGGAACATTTTATCCAACCAGCATTCAATAGAAGTTCTTCAGAAACATCTAGGAAATGAAGAGTCACATTTCTGACTGGATGGTCACCTATCCTGTTACTATGTTTAGTGAGATTCCAGAAGACCAAGGCTAACTGAAATGCTATAACTGGCCTTGATTTTCTGTATGTAAACGAAACTTGGAGTGAAGCGTTCTCTATACATTTCATGCCTTTTCTTTCGTGTTCAATTTGTCGTGTAGATTTAGCTTAGGAAACTGATTTAAGCGTTCCCTTATAAGATTTATCAGTACCATACGAAAGAAGCTAAAATGATGCAATTTCCGAGTTCTTATTGGTTAGTATGGACCAATCAAAACATTTTCAATGAAGAAGATCATAAAATAGTGATTTGTTTAAATCATATATTTGTGTTGACTATCATTACTATTCCATTATAACATTGATAACATGATTTTATTCATCTAATAATTCTATTCAGAGTTAAATCGTAAATGATAAAGCCATAAACGTCGTTCAAGTTGTTCATTATTGAAATCTTCTTGATATTTAGAAATACTTTTAATTCTTTGAGTTTGATTTGATAATACCGATTGATTTAGTTGTGATGGTAGATTTGTATTACAGAATAGTATACAACTTATTCCTTTGTTGTATGGACATGTTGTTATAGAATGCACATTACCGAATCCCTTGAAAGGAAAATAATGAAATATTTCAATAGTATTATAGTTTAATCAGAGAGGGATTTTGTGGATATTATAGTAATTTAATAGTTGAGATCATGTGGCAATTAAAGTTAGACCATCATGGAAAACCTCGAAGCACTGGACGGCCGTTTCGCCCTATTGTGGGATTCCTCAGTGGCAGTGTACATTCACGATCCCGCCGCGCGCGATTCGAACTCAGGACCTATCAGTATTATGTTTAATGATGAAAGTTGGACTCGTAAATAAACGGAATTCCTTTCGATCGATTTCAATAAAAGTATCAATATATGATGGGGGGGGGGAAACTCAATTTAGCAAGATTAACCTTCAATAATTGACTAATTGAAAAATAATTTTGACAAACTTTTTCCTACGTATCGTCAGAAATCATTGTGTTCTGTATAACTTGATCATTCTTATCCAATGGTGCACATGTTCTCCAGTATCCTGAGGGAACAAATGGCATATGAACCAATTATTGGTCACCGGCTACCATGGGACTGCATCTCCTTACGATGCTCCACTACCTTGTGGATCAGAACTTTAGGTCAAAAGCTCCGAGTGTGGTCCCCTAAGAAAACCACCTGCTTTGGTTTGGGCACCCGGGCAGTATCACAGCCCCTCCCTTGTACCAATATCTATGTGTCCAAATAAATATATAGGTAGAATGTATATCAGTATCAACTCTTGGACAATGTATATATCAACAAAGCCACCGATAAAAAAACTAATAATCTGATTTTTTTTCAAATAATAACTTACTGTTTTCCATTGATTTCTGATTTCACCAATTAACTCTCGTGAATTAAAATCAATTATTTCCACGTATGAATTATCTTCATTAGATGTAGAGCCGACAAGAGCAAATATTAATTTAGCTAAAGAAAATAGTTGATATATATATATGTTAGAATGAGTTTTTTGGAGAATTTAGGAAATTTCACAGGTTGAAATCATGAGTCAATTGAAGCTAGACCACCATGGAAAACCTGGAAGCACTGGACGGCCGTTTCGTCCTAGTATGGGACTCCTCAGCAGTGCGCATCCATGATCCCGCACCACGCGGGGTGGTCTAGCTTCAATTGACTCAAGATTTCAACCTGTGAAATATATATATATATATGTACAAATATGTAGTGAGGTGAATTAGAGAATACAAGTAAATAGTTAATTGTAATGATGAAAATGTATTTTCACAATTCAGATAATTGCTTATGTCAGTATTGATGATGTTCTATGTTTTTTATAGTCCATAAATGGATTGATCAATAATATTTTAATAGTTGGGTTCATGAGTCGATCTATGTTAGATCACTATTGTAAATTTGAAAGTACTGAGCGGCTGTTTCGTCCTAGTATGGGACACTTCAGCAGTGCGCATCCATTATCTTGCACGCTTAAACACTTGCCACTTTGACTCGGTCAGAACTTGGTGTGGTCTATCTTGATCGAACTGCCAATCACTGAAAATTCTACTTTTATTAAAAGTATAATTGATTCTTGTAATAATTCATTTATTTTCATTCCCCCTTTTAATGTTTGGTATGTAATTTTATTCCGTAAAGATAGATTGTGTGCCGATCAAATCGTGAGACTCATCTTTAGATGGATGCATCCTGGAGTTGATGTTCATTCCTGGATGAGCCCTAAATAAGACGAAACTCGCGTCCTCCACCCTACTGCTAGGCACCATCTATGTTTGCTTATAATTATCAATCCTAGATAAAAAAAGATTGCAACATAAAGTGATTCGAGATTTCGGATACTAAATGAGGAAGCGTAATAATCAGTTGATTAGAGAAGAATGGGAGGATGAAAAAATTTACGGGTCAGAATTATGATAGATAACTGTCCACTGAATCAGATCATGATTCAGTCTTTCCTATCGTTCCATAGCTACATGTATTTACTAAGCAACTATAAATACGAATTTCCAGCTTAAGCAAATGATTTAGTCGAAAATGATTGTTCATACTTTTATTAAACAACTATTAAATACTTAGATTATTGTATTGTTGTATTCCCTATATCGTAGGACTTCAGTTGACGCATAAACTACTCTCATATGTTTTACTTTCCATAAATTGCCCCCAAATGCCCTGGCACGGCTGAGAGCGGGGAGAGTCCGCTCTCCCTCTCGAAATGCTCTCACATGGCCACGCGTATATAGCCTCTGCCAGCGAAGTCCTACTCACTGCCTTCTCGTGGCGGGGGTGTTGTTTACGAAAATGAGAGGACGAAAAGCGAACGTCCGGCGTTTTAACCGGACTCCAAACCAATGGTACACATGGGCTCCAGTATCCTGCGGGAACAAATGGCGTATGAACCAATTGTTGGTCACCGGCTTCCATGGGACTGCATCTCCTTACGATGCTCAATGCTTTGTGGATCAGACATTCAGGTCGAAGGCTCGGGGAGTGGTCCCCTAAGAAAACCACCTGCTTCTGTCTGGGCACCCGGGCAGTATCACAGCCCTCATACATATCGAATGAGATTTGGTGCCTCATTGTACCAATATTTATGTGTTAAAATAAATAAATAATTTATACCTTGTAATTTCTTATTTATGTTACTATGTAGTTAGTTATTTAACCGATATTACAACGTGAGCTTTCAGCTACAATGGATAAATATGTAATAGGAGTTTTATCCCCATTCTAAGTTTGCTTTATAACTCGATACCGGGCTAGAGGGAAGTTACTTTATAGACTAACAACCATACGAATTCTCGCAGTCATTACACGAGATTATTTATCGTCGGTATAAGAATGTCACTGGTCAAAATCAAGTTCAGTAGTCTACAAAGCGTTAACAATATTTAAGTTAATGGAATATATCTAGTAATTCAATCATAGAACATGTGAAAAAGATTCAAGATAATAACATACTTGAAGGTTCAATGGCAATGCCATAGATTGCTCTCATCTCTCGTTGTTTGTACTCAAATAGATAATCACCGGTACTATCTGATGTTGTCGAATATAAACCAGCTATGTAGCATACAATACGTTTGTTTTCTCTGTCTGCCACACATATTGCATCTTCTTCTTCCAATAATGATAACTGATGCGGAATATTTAAATTATATGGTCCTGGAGATTCTGAATCTTTTAAAAATATAAAAAAAGAATTGCAACATCCGTAAATTATGTAAAGAATTATACACTACTGAATTAATAATGAGTAGCCACAGGTAAGATGCTTCTTGAAGATCTTCGTTTCATGAACTGATTACATCTAAGTTATTATTGATAATCAAGGATCACCGGGACACACTCTCTTTTTCCTGATTTGGAATTACCCTCCAGTAGACAAGCGAATCTTTATCTTAAGTAAGTTACAATTTCGATCATTGAATCGTATCTCAATGTTTCGTATTCCTAGCTTTAATTCATTCGCTATATCGTGCAATTATTATCCACTGTCATCAGTGCTATCCATACAAATTTCTGATCTTATTGAACTCCACTGCTGCTTACATTTTCAAATTAGAACTACGGAAACAAAAAAAGCATCGTCTATCATGTTTTCTATACACAGTTCAACTGCTTTTTGAACCTGAACAAAAATTAGTTTCACTGTTATGCTGAATATCATCATGAACAGTGAACAGATTCAACATAAGCATAAATGTCACTTTTTCATCAAGAAATTATCTTAAAACGTTTTAAGCAATTAATCGTCATGAATTGAAAAACTCTGTTAAACAATCAAAACTATGAAATGACCTTAACTAGGAGATAATTTCTGAATATCACGGATCGACTGAAGTTTTAATTTAAGCTTATTGATGTCAACTCAGTGGTTAAAAGGTTAAGCGCTCGTAGAGTGACTTAAAGACCCTAGGTTTAATCCCCATTGGAAGAGTTCATATGGATTACTTAGGATTCTTATACTAGGACAAAGCACCTGTGTAGTGTTTCTTGACTGCTAATGGTTGTTTGACCAGAGTGAATCCGTGATAGAAACTATCAACTTCAACAATCTCTCCGGTAGCAAGACATATTATTTAAAACTAATTATGAACAAGTTATATCTATTTTTTAAAATAAGATACATCTTATTCTTCACTACGTTTTCAATGTTGAGCAAAGTATATAGATACTGTTTCGAATCTGATTGGCCGTCTGAAGTTCGTCACCATAATATAGTTTTAGAAATTACGTAACTAAACTATAATAAGCAAAAGGTGATGATAGTTCTACCAGCTGTCATAGAAATAATAAGGGCTTAAATTAATGTTTTAACACGAGAAGTGGGTCAAAAAAAATTTGGAAAAAGTAGACATTAGAGTGACCATTGTTAACAATTGTTAAAATTTACGTAATAAAGAGTGTTCAGATGAATTAGACAGTGAAGAATATATTTAAAAAAGGGATGAAAAAAAAGAACAAAAGATATGAATGTTACTAATAATATTAACCGGTAAATCACTTGTTAACCCCTATCCGACCAAGGTAGAAAAAGGGTGTTATAAGTTTCTTCTGAATACATGAATTAGGCTATAGATTCTAATCTTTTTAGCTTGTGTTATAATATAGTAGACATAATCAAGCAGCGTTAGGAAACAACGTATTGATATGATCGATCATTTTCATTGAAAATATTACCTTTTTTAATGAGACGAGGCCTCGTGCTGTGGACACTTAGCCCCCAAATGCCCTGGTATGGCCGAGAGTGGAGTGGGTTCGCCCTCCCTCTCGAAATGTTCCCACATGGCCACGCGTATACAGCCACTGACATGGAAGTCCTATTCACTGCCTTCTCACACCATGGGTGTTGTTTATGAAACTGAGAGGACGGAAAGCGAATGTCCGGCGCTTAAACCGGATTCCAAACTTGCGGTGCACATGGGCTCCAGTATCCTGCGGGAAAAAATGGCGTACGAACCAATTTTTGGTCACTGGCTTCCATGGGACTGCATTTTCTTACGATGCTCCAGTGCCTTGCGGATTAGACCTCCAGGTCAAAGGCTCGGGGAGTGGCCCCCTAAGAAAACCACCTGCTTCGATCTGGGCACCCGGGCAGTATCACAGCCCTCACACATATCGAATGAGATTTGTGTGGCGGATATGTATTTGGTATCATCTTGTACCAATATTTATGTGTTCAAATAAAATAAAATAAACTAACAATAAAAATAATAATTTCAATTACCTTTTGTTTCGTAGCCCCATGATTTTAGAAATTCTCCATTTTCATTAAATTTCACAATCCGATTATTACAATACCTAATAAAGGTTGATAAATTTAAGATATCAGAAGGGGTTTTGTGGATATTGTAGTAATTTCAATGGTTGAGACCATGAATCAATTGAAGCTAGATCACCGTGAAAAACCTGGAAGCACTGAACGGCCCTTTCGTCACATTGTGGGACTCCTCAGCAGTGCTCATCCACCATCCGGCCTCGCGAGCGAGCGCTTAACCACTAGATCACTGAGCCGACATCCAACGGTGTAAATGTCTAACTTCAACCAATCCACGAAATTGAGCGAGACATCCACCACTGTCATCAGTGAGTTGCTATCTCACAACAGAACCAGTTGAATTTCACTGACCACTGCTTCTTACTAGAATCCAGGAAATACCTCTTGGAGACCGTCACTAGTGAGCATATGTTGATTAGTATCAGAAGGGGTTTTGTGGATATTATAGTAATTTCAATAGTTGATATCATGAGTCAATTGAAGCTAGACCACCATGAAAAACCTGGAAGCACTAGACGGCTGTTTTGTCCTATTGTATGTTGTGTAAGATAAAGTAAAAGAATCCTTTTTTATAAAAACAGTTCACTTTGGAGAACTAGAAAAACAACTTGTATGAAATCCTGGAAGTTTTTTCAAAAAAATAGTCCACATCACACACCGACCTTAATCAGATAACCATTGAAAACTAGGAAGCATTGAATGGTTGTTTCATCTTGAAACGAGATCCCACAGTGGTGCATACCCATGAATCCACCAGGAAATGGAGATCAAGATGTTTAGGTCTTTCAACGAGTCAATAACCTTCAAGCTACCGAATCAGTATTTAGTGTTTCACTTCAACCGATTAGCTTAATAAGTTAACGTTTATTTCTTTGTTAAATATATTTTATTTATACTTGTAATAAGTTGGATCATTACTGAAATAATTAGTTTGCAGAGTCTTAGTGCCATATGGAATTTGACAGACATGAAGTCATATAAATATTTCAGTAGTCAGAGACTTTTGATTTGAAATTTAATCTATCCTCATATTCAACACATTAGACCAACGATTACAGCTAACACATACACAAATGAAAGCAATACGGTAGGTAGAATAGATGGATAGTTAACAATAAATTCAAAAACTTAAATTTTACTACGATTTGTAAAAACAAAAGCAGTTTTTAAATTATTTGTTTCTATCTATTACATGATCACTATCGACCAAGTGCGATAGAACAGAGCCACATATTGTTTTGATTATACCCTATCGTAATGACAAAGAAGGTGTTCGCCAACTCATTGGCTCACTATAAACAAAAATCTAGAGCTCATTCGTAGAGTGTTAACTGATATGGGTTATCCACATGGTTTTTTGGAGAAACATTTGCACAAAGTAAACAGGAAGATAGAGGCATAAACAGATAGTAAGAAACCTCTCTTCCCAAAGCTACAATTCAATGGTGATATAGCTAGTGATGTACTAACAAGATATGGTAAATAAAGAAATGAACAGGCTATTTGATGCCGATAACCCATGTCTATCACTTCTGAGATGACTTATAGTTATCCTTCAACCAAAGTATAAGTTACCGTGTTTTTCCACTTTCATATGCATCTACGAATTCAGTTGCTCCTGCGGAGAAAGCTATATTGGCGTACAATCAGACATTTAATACAACGATTTAGTGAGCTTCTCCCTTCGTGGTTACCAAAGGGATGATCAAAACAAGAGCAGTTTTTATCAAGGGCAATGACATATATAAAATGTTAATCGAAAATTAACAACTTAGTTTCGAGATATACTACAAAATTCGTACTAGTTTACTACAATTGTTGTTCACACTGTTTAAATTCTAATGAACTTATCTAGTCTAAGTGCAATGTCTTGTATTCGACTTGGTACCACATTGTATTGTGGTGTGTGTATCTGTAGAGGAAGTACTTGTGACTCTATGTAGTTGACTAAATCAAAAGTAAATTGAGTGTTTTAAAAATCTATATCCAAGGTACCAGACAATTGTGTTTCATTAAGGAAAAAAAACATTTATAAAAGGGAAATATAATTGGATTTATTTACCCATCGGAGATAAAAACTTGTCCATTTGAAGAAACTACTACGTCCGTTGGTTTACAAAATTGATTTTCACTTGAACCAGGTTTAAAACGTTCACCAAGTGTTAATAGTGGTTCACTTGATAAATTTGACGAGAATTTAAAAACCTTATGTATAGAAACAAAAATTATTCAGGTCGTAAGATTCTTGTATTTTAAATGTACTCAGGAGTAAAGATAGATAGTGGCTAGCAGTGGAATCCAGGACGCGAGTTTCGTCCTATTGGGGACTCGTCAGCTAGATGTACCTGCATCCCAGTGGGAAGATACAAGTAAAACAATACCAAGTGAGTGGCTAGTGTATTTTTTTCTTGGCTCGTTTTATTGCTTAATTAACTATTGAATAACTAACTGAGAGAGTCTTAAATATGTTCTTAGTAAGGTAATAAATGAATATGGTGGGGATAGAATTAACAGTTAGGATTAAAAGTTAAGGCTAAGAAATAGAGTTAAGTTTTTCATCACGAAACGACATTAGCTAGATTATTGGAATATTATGGGTGAATATGCTCCAAAATAGTCCTGTCAACTAATTGTTCCCCTATTAGTTAAAGCATTTTGTTTACGCCATTTTTAGTCTGTTATTGTTATTCTTGATTGCTTTAAGGGTAGACTGTTGTTGTGTTCATCACCTTGCAAGTGAGTTTAATGTAAACAAATCATGATTTACTGTAGAACTATCGATTATTTTATTTATACATACATATTGATAGTTCTGAATAGCCAAAACAGCTTTTGGTTTCAACTGACCTTTCGTGCGTTACTATAGTGATAAAATAGGATTTATTACTGAATCAATGGCAAAATTTCAATAGGGATAACTATTGATAATCAACGATGATAGTTATTTATAATCTAATTGATAGTCATATGTGACTGGTTACATTTAAACAGTGTTGAATCTGATATATCATGACATATGCAGTGTTTATAAACATTAATGTTTACTTGAAGCAGAATTGAACTTTTTCCAAAAGCGCCAAATCAGTCGGTCCAGAGGGCATTGTCTGGGACTGGTTATCGTTACATCTTATTTTCTTCATGTGTTTTCAGATTCTAGTTGACTAGTTTGATTATTCGACATCTGATTACGTGATTGAGTGATTTTATTAACTATAGCACTATAGATCGGATCTAGGCTGATATGTCCACTTATTACAAACATGTGGGGCTAGCCCCCGGTGAAATCAAGGAAGCTGTAAGAAGCTCAAAAGGAGCCGAAGGCATTCCATCCAATCATCTTTTGGAAGAATGTTCCAGAATATCGACGTATAGCTTCCCGGTTGAACAAATGCTAAAAACCACTGCATACGGGTTAGATGACTGTAATGATGATTTAGTTTTTACTAAAAAATATAAATACCTTATTGTTTTTTTGTCATATTTGACACTGTTTGGAATAGGATTCCTTCTCATTCATCTGCTGTTTTCCAACCTGCGACTTGAAGAGTTCTAGTGTTCGAATGCTCAAGCTGTGCGTCGTATAGCAAGAATATAAGTTCTAAATATAACAAAACTGAACCAAGTACTCTGATTCTACATGTTCTCAGTAATTCTTAAAAACACCTCGATCCAAAATTTTGTCATAAGTTTCCAATTTAATTCAGGATCATAATTTCCTGTGTACATTTATACAAATAACAATATGTCATGCAATTTCGTCATTAGCTTCGAACCATAAAGTTTGTGTGTGTTTGTGGACTAGTTAACAGACCCATGTTTTCAGATCGAACTATTTATAGCGCAATTTGTATTTTTAACGCGACTGCGTCAAGTTTTCAGCTAGTCTATAGTATACGTTTTTCTACTATGCTAATATAACTTTTTCGTCATATATATATATATATATATATATATATATATATATATATATATATATATATATATATATATATATATATATATATATAACACGAGAATGATCCATGATCATTTTCAGTTATGTCAGTTGCATTAAAAAAACACGCCGATGAGAATAATGAATGGTAACTGTTGGGATCTATTTCTGGACTATAACTACACGTACATTTTTTATTGTATACTTGTTAAATAACTAAACTGTTCATATTCATGTCCCTCTTAATATGAGCCTTATTTTGAGCTATAGACCATTATTATACAATTTACCGTTCTTAAGTTATGCCCAGTCTACCAATCATTATCTACCACATTCACAGCCACTTCAGGCTAATTCTTGTACAAATGTTGTTTCCTATTTTATTGGTACGATGTGGTCTGTTTGATTGGTATATAAACCCAGTATGTTTGAAATATAATGATTGATATCGCGGGGGCTGAGGTTGGTGTTGTGGACTTAACTGGCAGGTCTAGGCGGGAAGCAGGATCGATGAGGACTCTAGACTGCTCGTACATATTTTATGTATCATTGGTCCGATCGATAATTCACTGTTCTCTAATTGGCGGTATCATTACGTTATACATTAATAGGACACAGGGCACAAGTTATAACAATAGTAATAATAGCTATTATTGTTATCATTAAAGCTTAGTCATAAAAAATTAGCACACGAGTTACCTACATATTAAAAAGAACACAGTTCCATTTCATAATATTTAGTTGATTATGTCAAACTTACTTGATGTAAAGCTATATCTGTAATCCAGAAATTTCCATCTGGATCTATTGTAAGCCCATGAGGAAGAAAGAATCTTTATTTTTTGTTTGGTAAAAGAGACAACAACAAATAACACATCATTTTACAATTGATGATGAATACTTATTTTAAAACTTAAGACATATTCATTCTATATATTTGACTGAGTTAGATCAAGAATAAATGTTATTGCTTTATTCTAATCAATTATCAATGAGAAATTGTTGAAGTATTTGTTATGAAATACTGAAGTGAATAGTTATTGGTTGGTTTGTGACCTTGATCTTCAGTCAGTCAGTAACAACGTAGAACTTCGTACGTACGTACGTACATCAGTTCGAGTTGCCATACCACATTAACACAGAGATACAGTTGTCCATTCAAATCCCGTAGTGATAAAGGCGGTAAGAGTATAAGCAGTAATCGGAAAGATTAGGGTTTGAAGAAGTTATTTAAAGAGTATAATCCATTGAAATAAATTTGGAGAGAGAAAAAAAGAGACAAGGAGGATTCAGAAGATTAGAATTTGGGAGAACACAAAGAGTGTATGCACCTGAGCCATTGCAAACGATTCTGAGTCATGTCATTCAGGATCTCTAACCATCGGTTGCTATCATCTCGCGGTCCCCAACCAGGTAGTCTACACCTACCAACATGTCTCAGTCTAGTTGTCAGTGACTTCATGGACTTGTGCCATGTTTTGGTCTGGCCGCCCCTAGTTTTCTTCCAACCTACTCCTATACCATAAAACATCGCACATTGAGGCAGTCGGTGGTTGGGCATACGTAACACATTTCCCACCCATCTCAACTGATGAAGTTTCACTACTTCATCAATTGATTTTCCATCCTTACCTTGACCTTCAGTCTTGATTAATTATTGGTCAATTGAAAACCAACACATAATCCTATTATTTCTCATGAATAAGTGATAGATTTTATGGTGAGACTATAATTTATGGACAACCTTTGAGTGACGCTAAAGAGACTTTGAGAATGTCCACCTACATACTATGGCTAAATGAAGGTTATGAATCAGTGTGAGAAATTAGAATTAATATTTACAGCTGATAGTTACGGTCAGGAATCAGATAATAGGGTTTTAATAACGAACTGAAATCAGCTATAATGCCAAAACTCTATTTATTTGAATGAATGAATTAGTTTCGCACCAAAATTCAAGACCTGTTATCGTAAATCTGACTGGTTCATCCATAAATTATAGTCTCACCATAACTATATCAAATATTTTGACAAAATACAGATACATTTCGACATTCAACACTACTTGTATTTCCTTGATCTCAAGTTGTAATTTAAAGTCGTTGTTCTGTCAGTACTATGAGATTATTTGTTGGATATGCGAAGATAACTCACTGACGATCCTCGTACTGTTTACTCCCTACCTTCAAAAAAATTGCAAACCATTGTTAAGAAAATAGTTCGTTTCTTGATACATACATACTGCTGCACGGTCAGTGAAACTATGATATCATAGACTAATAAGTGAAGACAAACAGACACTTAGCTCACCAACTAGTAAATATGTGATTGCCTTTTTATTATCGATTTCTACTTTAATCTTCACTGAGTCAAGACTGACTACAATTCTGTTGAATCGAGTACTGTTTAGCCTATATCTAGTCACGGATCACAAGTCTGGTACATGGTAATTTCAATCTCTGAGAATAAACTATCTATCGAGTATCCGGTCAAGTTTTAGCATAGTTTCATACCAGGCTTTTATCATCATATTATAGTATTATATCGTGGTAGGACAGAAAATATTACTTACTTGAAAGGAAAATAGGTTCTTTTAATCTCTCCATTAAAGATTTGTACTAAAACTCCTTTTTGTATAGGTTCAGACTTATTGAGACGGTAATTATCTCGATCATCAAATGTACTATAAATAAAATAAAAGACAGAGATGAAAACATTTTGAACGGTGCTATTCTTTTCGTAAGGGTTTGTAGTATTTTGTTGTCAATATTCGGGATCAAAATTGTTCATTCTCTATAAAGATTTGTTTTTCTTGAAGAGTTTGGCTTGAGATAGCCTTAATGAATGGAAGTTTTTTTTCAGATTTGAACTGTAGTTGGCAGTGAAAACTAGTATGGGTGTTCCGTCCTCCAATGTTGTTTCCTTTAGGCTATTTAGTTTAGTTAGACACTAAATTGTTGAATTGGTACGAAGTTACATATGTAGGGATTTATATTTACGCATTTATTAATGTTCGAACTTGCTATTTATCAGTCTTTATTGGCCTATGTGGATCTCTTGAGAGGGAATGCATTAGGCAAGTTATAGGTACATTCAACTGTTGAAATCAATAAATAATGGACAAGTATTTTTTTCTCAGTTCCAAAAATTCCACAATTTCCTTAGTTTGATAATAATGTTAATAATACTAATGAAAATGTTAATAATAATCTCTAACGAGTAACTTCTAAATGGATTCAGATGTTCCACTGAGAAGTTATCATCAATGAAGTTCATTGATCATCAAGCCTATTTTAAGTAAACATGACGTTTTAAAGAATACTTATCTCTATTGTTTAAATACTTGAAGTTATGATCATTGTATGTTATGGATAATCGTAAATTTTTATCTTGAGATGGTATAGAAGATTTGTAGCTCAGGTGGATGTTTTGGTGGAACTTTTTTCTCTAATTTGGATGGTTTGGTTGTGGAGCTTTCATCGTTCATCTGAACAATATCATCAGTACAAACTTCAAGTAATAGTTCGAATTTCCCTACAAATGACTTCCAGCTTGTCCTGTAGACCTTTATCTTGATTGGTTATTGTTGACCTTTAACCTGTCGTTGTTTACTTCTTTATTTTGATTGTATCCCCCATTGGTTTGAGTCATATGTGGAGAAATTCAAACAATTCACTATTACTTGAAATTTGTGCTGATGATATCGTTCAGAATAATGATGAAAGCTCCACAACAAAACCATCCAATCAGAGAACAAAACTCCACCATAATTTTATCTTGCCTAACTGTTTAGTATGTTTCAAAATCAACACTGGGTGCATTATACTATGATTAAGAAAGATTAGTTTCCTTATAAGTCAATGGAAGTCGAATGATTCTTAAGAACACAAAGTGTAATGCATAGTTAATTGCTTAAGAAATAGAGATTTTTAAATACAATAAATTCAAGAATTCCTATGATCATTAAAACTATTGACATTCAAACGGTACATAAGAAATTTTCATGTTATGAAGAATGATTCAATAGCTCTTCATGTCCATTTTAGTAGAAGGCCTATTTATTATGTGTTCAAGTAAATAAGCGTTAGGAAAGCCTAAGTTTATCACTCAATAGGTCAGTTATAACATTTTAATGTGCGTGGACTGTGGTCAAATATATTAGGAGATATTGGTTGTTCATTGACACATGGTACACACTTATAGCCAATTCGAAATTCAATGTTTCGTCAGTGTAAATTTGACCTTATAAAAGTCAATTTATTTGAATCTAATTCAGTTTAATTGACCTGTTCTAAGTGTAACGAAAAGAAAACGTTGAAAATCCCTCCATAGCATTTTTGTTGGACAGCACTGTCATTTATTTGTTTCTTCTCCCTGTCGTGTATTTTGACCTTTGATCAGATCTTGTTTAACCACACCTTTTGTTCTTCAGTCTCCCTCGTCCAAGCTTTTATTACGTGATTTCGATTAAAGACTTATCTTTTGTTACCTAATTTTCTATTGCATGTTGCCGGGCTATTGACTGTAAGGTCGTGTTTGACTAAGCTCAATGTCACGGCGTGATTCAGAGTGTGGTTGTTAACCTTATGACTGTCTGCTTGGGGGGAATGCTGGGATCCCTGAAGACAGATATGTGTTCCCATCTCGTTGGGAATATTTTTATTGATCCTCAGGTATTGAACTCTTTTGTATTGACTATTTCTTTTTTTGTTTATCACGCTAATTTGTGTTAGAGAAACCCTTGATTGTATAGCACAGACTGTACCGTTTGAGGTATTTTGTAGTTTTGATATCATTTGTTCTATTTCTTAAATTAGAACCGTTTAAATTGAGCACAAAGTTTGTATTTTGATATATTTTAATACGAGTAACTCAAAAATGCTTCATACGCTATACAGAAGAACGTAGTCTCGTTTAATCGAATAAATTTTGGTTCGTTAGCTCTATATTCAAACCGAATATTGGCATTTCAGTTGTCACACTAAGCGTGTGTTTAAAAAATCTTCATCTATTCACCAGTGTTTATTTGCTATGGTCAGATCTACTCAGTTCATGTTAACCAGTCACTTTGAGTAATGACACCAATTAAGATCAATATCAGCAATGAACATAAGAGTTAGATATTCAAATTTCTTGGTGTAATTATATCAATTATTATTTTCATTACTGTTTCGGCACGCTAATTATTGGATGGATTTCATCATAACTGTCGATAATAATGATTACAATACTCTGTTCCTAGATTACAGTTGACTAATGATAAGATATTTTTAGGGTGGAGTTTCACTTTCTGAAAACAAAACGCTAAACAATCCATTTCCCCCCATTAACATATTAATAACTAGCTTACTTTTGATCCCATACTCGATCACCACGATGTAAAACGTAGACATTTGAAGCGGACTGATCTGTTGCTTTAATAGAGGATACCACCCCTAAATACTCGTTCACATTTCTTAATGGCCAGGATTCATTAAATCCAATAAAGAAATCGTTTTGTCGAATTAACTAGAGATAAAATATACAAGAATAAAAAAATAATTAATTTTTACGCTTTTGACGACTATCATTTGAAATAATGTACATCTGGGAATTTCAAGAGATAGAATTCTAGTGATAATCCATGACCAGTCAAGTTCAATCATATCGGGAGTAAGACAGTTACTTACCGAAGACAATGTAAGGTGGTCATGCAATACTATTAATTAGCTAAAGTTAGACGTATATATCAATAGATTCCAGTTTATCGATCTAGAATTTCAGGATTCATAAGTGATCAAATGGTTTGGGTTGGATTTCCGGTAGGGTGGTGAATGTGTATTGTTACATCTAATATTAGAACCAAATAGCTCTTCAGTGCTTCGTGGTTTTCATAAGTCGGTTTGTGATATTAATAGTCTCCACATTACCTGTATTTATTATTACTGAAGAAAAAAGTAATTTGTCACAGAATGCTAGATTATTCTGAGTTATAATATCCGTTGTTACATAGACTGTTTTACAGTAATTATTGGCCAATGGTATCCGGCCAATGGATTTGAATTAACCGACAGAAGCTTCCTACTCACCCTGAGTTTTCTCATTGAAATAATTCGTGAAGCTCGTATATATTGATGACAGACTAGGATGACACAATAAATTTTCTAATGACGAGTCAGTTCAACAATATTTTGGCAATGAATTTTCGACTCTGCAAGAAAAATACACCCATGTCAATATTCCAAGCACAGCTTAATTCTATTTTGTAGAAGCATAGAAAACATCATCGAATTCAATGTTAAATCCAAGTCAACCGCCAGGACTGTTATTATTTGAATTACTAATTTACACTGATAGTTATGAATATATGATGGACTAATTCAATGATAGTGTTTTCATGGAATTTTCATGATAGTACAATCAATTTGATGATTTAATTATACTATTGATTCTAAAGTTCTAAATGGACGAATTTAAGGGAAACAGAACTACTGAATAGTTGACTTAGTGCATGTTCAATATGGCAAATTGCCACTTACTGAAAATAAACGCTATATATCACTAGTTATTGTATACTTCTGCATGCTGTAATCTATATCCAATCACCCTACATCTCAGTCTTCATTAATAAGGATAGTATTTATATTGGCCTGTGTTAATCCTTGCAGTTTGTTTTCCAATGGAGATCTAGCTTCTCCTTGAAGGTATTCCCTAATGAAGCTTATTCCACTCGTTCGATTAGGACGTTCCAGTTATTGACCATTCGATAAGAAAATCGCAATTCCACTCTGCTTTTATTTGGTCACGGTTTTTTAACCTTCTTACTGTGACCTCGAATATGATTGGTTCCGGAAAAATCAAAAAGACAAGACATTGTAACACTCAAATCACTATTTAAGATAATAAATACCAACATAAGGTCATCTCTCACTCTACGACATGGGGGAAAGGTCTAAGCATTTCAAGCACTCAGGATAGTTTGTTCTATGTCAAGTCACCTAAACGAGTGATCATATTGCAACGTAACCGACAAAATCCAATCAGCACTAAAAGGACTAGACGAGCTACTCAGTTATCAATCGACAGTATCACTGTATATTACAATTCTGTGTAACTAATGGGGATCTGAAACATAAAAGTGATCATCAGTTAATCAGATATGTCACTGAATAATAGAGATGGATTAACATAATATACATTGTTGAACATCATATTTCCCAACTAGTTAAAGTATAATACAGACATTTATTAAATGTAACCGTAGTATGATTTCTGAAACTACTGAATAATGAACTCTATGAAGCTGAGATTAACGTAAAATCGCATGTTTTAAGTTGCCGGCGTAGCTCTATTTCAAGCAAGATAGTTTAGTAGAATTATACTTTATGTGCAAGTCATTCAGAATTGGGAATGTAACTTTCAGATATTTGAGCAAAAGTCGAATGTCATTTAGAGTGAGCAATAGAAATATCTTTTTATACAGATCAAAATTTTGTGAATAATTGATTTTATGGTTGAACTAATCAAGTAATGCTTCTTATATATTTCCAATGGAAGTTCATTTATCCATATAGCTACAGAGCACATCTGTATTGTCAATTTGTGTGGAAAACTCTAATCCTAAAGACTTTTACAAGTCTGTTTGGTTCTTTTTAAGGGTTCGAGAAAATCAATAATCTAAATTCATAAAGACGAGTTTATATGTCGTTAGTTTATTTGGGGACATACAGACAGAGTAACCTGTAGAAGACTTTAGTAATAAATTAATTCATTACATGAAATCGGTTCACTATTTGTAATACTGTTATTTTCTCTATAAACAATTGACTTGCAGAAGCTGTTTTCTGTTTGGCTACTAACTTCCATTACAATTCTTCCCATTTATGAATTTGACTAAATTAAGAGGGCCTGTCTTGTGACGTGGTTGGGTGCTTTCCCGAATGTGTGTCCTATCCACTTCCAGCGCTTCTTTCTGATTTCTTCCTCCGCTGGGATCTGGTTTGTTCTCTCCCACAGTACGTTGTTGCTAATGGTGTCCGGCCAACGGATCTGAAGTATTTTGCGTAGACAACTGTTAATAAACACCTGCATTTTCTGGATGATGGCTTTCGTAGTTCTCCAGGTTTCCGCACATACAGTAGAACTGTGTTGACATTTGTATTGAAAATTCTGACCTTGGTATCGGTTGACAGAGAGTTGTTTTGAGTTACAGATATTCTTCAGTTGTAAATATACTGCTATTGCTTTACCGATCCGCGCCTTCACATCTGCACCAGATCCACCATATTCATCAATGATGCTACCCAAATATGTAATGGTTTTTACATCTTCCAAATCTTCTCCGTCAAGCGTGATTGGATTGGCGCATGCTGTGTTGTATCGGAGAATCTTGCTTTTCCGTTTGTGTATGTTGAGAGCTACTGTTGCTGAGACTGCTGTTACACTGGTCGTCTTCTCCTGCATTTGTTGTTGCGTTCGCGATAGGATGGCCAGATCATCTGCGAAGTCTAGATTGTCCAACTGCATCCTAGCTGTTCACTGTATCTCGTGCTTCCCTTCATGTGTTGACATCTTCATGATCCAGTCGATCACCAGGAGAAAGAGAAAGGCTGAGAGTGAGCAACCTTGCCTGACACCGGTCTATATATATATATATATATATATATATATATATATATATATATATATATATATATATATATATATATATATATATATATATATATATATATATATATATATATATATATATATATATATATATATATATAAAGACATGCTTATATCATTGTCCATGATTTGTGCACTCAAGGCTTAACAGAATTCAAAATCCTGACTAGTCATAAGCGTTTCATAAATATATGACAGCATGTTATACAGTTTACATCTACAACCAATCAGTTAAAATAAATCTAAAACGATAAGAATCATTATATTATATACAATGGGAACGATGGATCATTCAAAGATTTGATCAGGGTATATAATAATGATAATATTATTATTACTATTACCATTAATATAATCAATATCATGGTAACATACCTCATTTTGAAATTCATCATCATCATTATCATGATCATCAATTGAAAATGGATATCTTTGGTAATCATATATGATACATGTTATATACTTCCATGTAAATAAGAGATTAATAAAGAAATTGAAATACATATTTTTTATTTATTGATTAATAATGATCAATTATGTAAGAAAATATTGAAATTAAATTCATTTATGATCTCCTTTTTTTCAAGTACTTCTAGTACTTATAATCTTGGTAATAATAATAACAATCAAGATAATAATGATCTATTTATAGTCATAATGTCATGGATACTCATCAATTGTAAATGATCCTCACTGAATGTTACCTTTGATCTTCTTCTTCTTCTTCTTCTTCCTCTTCATTGATATATTGGTCGTATGAAAAATAGTACAAACTCTTTATTCTGATTGGTTAATTTGATTGTTATCTCTCAATGAAAATAAAATATTAGGAAAAATCAATAAAATAGAGATAAGTAACCAATGAGAATTGAGTTAATCTATTTATTTATTAGTCTCATCAACAGTTTCAAAATGTATCGGTAATTATTATTGGTCAGATTGTAATTTATGGATGATGTTTGAGCAAATGTTAAAATGACCTTGAAAATATCCACCCACGTATTAGGATTAAATGACGGTTATAAATCAGTGTGAGGAATTATAATATTGATTGAGATCATAAAGCGATTGGTGTTAGGACGCCATTGAAAATCTGAAGGCACTGGACGACTTTTTCATCCTAGTATAGGATTTCTCAGCAGTGCGCATTCACGATCCCTCTCGCGGGATTCGAACTCATGGCTTTCAATCTAGCGTGAGAACGCATAATCTTTAGATCACGGTATTAATGTCTAACCTCAACCAATACACGAAATTGCGCGATCATTAACAACGTCGGATGCGAACTCAGTGGTCTAGTAGGTTGAGCGTTCGCATTCGAGACTCAAGGCTCTGGGTTTGAATAATGAGGGGGATTATGAATGCGCACTGGCGAAACGACTGTCTAGTGCTTACAGGTTTTCAATAATGGTTTAATATTGATCGATTCATGATCTCAATCAAAACTCAATAATTTCCACAACCCTTTACTAACATTTAAAAAAAATCAAGTTACTGATTTCGTCGTACTGCGTGAATATAACATACCATCTTGTGATTATTTTCGTCTTATATATTTTCGGTCAGGTATAATTAATCACATTGTAAACGGTCATCAATATGGGCTTCTTTCAGGGTAATTTATAACTGAAAACAATCTTAATGGTGATAACATTGTAAAATTACTCAACAACTCTTTATTTAATTACAGACTGTGATACTCTTGAACAAATCGTTTCGTTTATTTTCGACACATTATGATATTGACATAAAACATCACTAGTTTCTTAAACATTACTATTTGGAAGTATCATCCAAACATAAATATCTACATTGTCATATCTGATTCATACATTGGCCAGTGAGTGTTTCCGTTTGTATTGGCATATATGTGTGTGTGTTTAGATGAACGTGATTGAGTTCGTGTCCATGTGCATAAGTCTAATGTCAGGAGTGGGACTCAAATCTATGCCGACAGAGTGGACTGTAACCTGAACATAGAGCCTTGACTATTATTCATTTAAGAAATTGTCAACTGTTGATCATTTGTCAATGTTTAACTCATAATACGTTTATGGTTAATTAAATATACCGTTTACTTTATTATACCACAGTGATTTATTTATTTGTTTAAACGTAGATGGCGATTTTTACTGACTTAAATGTTGAATTAAAGTAATTCATTGAAACAGTTAGATGGAAGATAATTTCCTCCTTGTTCGTATATAAAAATTCACTAATTTACAGTCACATTCTTCATTATTATAACTACTAATCGTTGTCATGATTAAGAGATAGTTATCAATGTTTTCTAGCTTACTTTAAATGACATGCATAGTCTCCCTCTTATCACGATTATTGACGACTTTAATCAATATAATAGAATACATTAAGATCCGTTTCTACGTGATCACCACAAAAAATCTGATCCTAATCATTGTCTCGATATCTGTTGACACACAGGAGTATCATATGTCACTTGAATAGAATTGATGTGGCTATTATTCTTAGTTACAATTCTATCTTATATGAACGATGAAACAGTTTCAGAGAACTTTCTTATTATAATAAAATTCGGATGTAAAAATGCAAATTTTAACATCCAATCAAAACAATTTGTGCTAGTTGGATTTCAACTAATCAGATTACAGCAATACACAATTTGTAGCCAGTTAACAAGTTATTATAGAACACATTTTAAAAGCCAAATGTTTCTAATCGAATCCATAGATTTTCATCAATAGGGGTCAGGAATTTCGGAGTGGATCAAAGGCTAGTTTCAGGTCAGATTTTCCACCACAACCTTGAGTGGCTTTGCTCGAGTCAGGTATTTTGTATTTGAAGTGCTCATAGTTGACTGAGCGTCTGTTAGCGTGCATGAGTTCATAGTGTTTGCATAATAAATTAATCGTTTTACGCCAGAAAAGACTAAAAAATTAACAAGCATTATGAGCAAAGATGGATGATGGCTAACATTGGAATACAGGACACTTGTTTCGTCTTATCTTGGGACTCGTCAGCTGGATGTACCTGTATCCGAGTTGATGTTCACTCTGGGACTCGAACCCAGTGCCGTTTGCTTCAGACGCCATCAACTCTATAGTGCAGATAAATCCAGCTAACGAATTCCAAAATGAGACGAAACACGCGTCATATATTCCACAGCTAGCCACCATCCATCTCTGCTTATAATGCTTGTGACTTAAAACAATATCGAGGCAATCTGCACAGGATGTAAATATGCTAATAAGAGTCTGATCAATTGAAATCCTAAACATCAATGGGAAGATTCAAACAAACAATATCAGATGAATCTTAGAATGTCTTTTAAAATCATGTCAAGTATGTTACCTTTATTTCAAGTGCAAACACTGCAGTTGTTTTTGAGTAATTATCCATTGAAAAGCTGCAGTTATATCTGCCTTTTTGAAAATCGTATTAGATTACAAACAGCATAATATCAGTAAATAAAATTTTATACAATTCTAGGGACTGTTTATTGAAGTTAGCAGGGAAATGGCTAGCACTGTTGGTCAAGCTCCAAGTCCCCGAAATATTTCGGTTGAAGTAAGTGGACGGTTTAGACGGATGATTCTGAATAATCTATTCTTGTTTCGGGATTATTTCCAGAGGATATTTAATGGATTTCAACGCGTATATACGCTACTTCGTTATAAATACAAATCATATCGAGTAACAGTATCGTTTGTGGTTTAATATACTAAGAAAGCTAAAGTATATTCCTTTACTACGGTTTTCCGAGTTGACTTACTGATGAAAATTTCGATTGTTCAGTATTCGGAAATTACACTTCTTAGCTCAGTTAGTACTTTACAGAAGCTATCAGTTAATGATCCCACTCATACTGATGAATCTACCTATTTATTCAGGATAAACAAACAGAGTTTATAATATATTTACTTATTCAGATAACGTAACAACTAACATCATGTACTTGAAATTAACTGCCCGGAAGTGAAAAATGTTGTTTATTCTACAATAAACTGCAAGGATTCATTTACACTCCGCCATCTGGACTTGTGATAAAAGATGAAAACAACAGGCCTATTGATCGTCGACGGTTCTATCTTCTTGTAGTGCGGAAATCTACATTGAACTGACTATTTTTGACAACTGAAAACCTTCAAGTGAATACAGATGCTATTTGGAGGAAATGATGTGACAATAGAACGTATACTTTGCAGTTGTCGAAAATCATAGTTTATGCCTCTAATAAACGCTTCACAAATGAATATTCATCGAATGGATAAACAGGATAAACCAGATGATCATCACCATCCAATTGTCTATTTTCAAAACACGTGAGCTTGCTATTATGGAGCAGCACATCTGGAAGGCATCTACAGGAGAAGAGTATATAGTATGACAATAATTTACCTCAAAGATTCATCAGCGTGTACCGAGTAATCATCTGTTAAGCATCAGTATCCATTCGCATTACAAATTATATTTTAGAGTTGTTTAGAGCTCAGAAGTAATAAGTAAAGGTGCTATTAGCTGAAGTAAAATCTATGACTTATGATATTTCTGGACATTGACTTTCTAACCGCTGTCTATTGCTAAGACATCGTCTAAACTTGAGCCCCAATCGGAAAAAAGTGTGGAGAGTATGTAAAGAAGTTTTGCTTCCCACCTCACGTGAGATACATAAAGCAAGGATATTTATAAGTTTATGTGTGAACTTTTTAGTCTAGAGTCAGTCAGTCAACTACAACGTAGGACCAGGCACATATATGCGTCAGTCCAAGTTGCCATACCTCATTAACGCAACAAGATGAACACCGGGTTCATAAAAGTAGTTAATTCAGAGGTGGTAATATATAAAATAAAGATTGCAATAAGCATATAGTACAGGAAGAAAGAATTAGTTCGTAGACAGATATGAAGCAATTTTAACCTCACGGTTTAAGAGAAGACAGAGGGTGTATACACCGACGCCATGGTGATCGATTCTGAGCCATATCACCAAGAGTCTCCAACCATTGGTTACGATAGTCACGCAGACCCAAACCAAGTAGTCTGCATCTACCAACATGGCTCAGACTAGAAGTTAGTGACTTCAAGCACTGATGCCACGTTTTGCTTTGGCCGTTCCTAACTTTTTCCAACCATCTCCAACACTTGTCAGCATTGCACGTCGTGGTAATCGGTGTTCATGCATAAGTAACACGTGGCCCAACCATCTCAGTTGATGAAGATTCACAACCTCATCATTCCCTAATACCCTGAGTCTAACCTCACTATTACTTACCCGGTAATCCCAGCAGACGCTAGCAATATTTCTAAGGCATCTATAGTCAGATATTAGTAGCTTACGAGTGTCTTCTACTCTTAATGGCCATGTTTCGCTGCCGTAAATTAAAACAGAACGGGCTGCCGCGCAGTATACTTGTCCTCTTATTGATAGACGGATATCTCGCCTTCGCCAAAGGTGACGTAAGTTGGCAAAAGCCAAACGAGCTTGTCGAATCCATGCTGAGATTTCGTCAGACACCAATCCATTAGGGCTGATCAGACTTCCAAGATAAGTAAAGTTGTCAGCGCGTTCGACTACTTCACTCCATATCCTTAGTTCAGGTGTTGACGCAGACCAGTCCTGAAGCCTAAATTGGTAACAAAATCCTTAATAACCTAGTCAGAATATGTTAAAATGTATAGTTTTTTCAGAATTCGCCTTAGACGTTTGATTAAACTCAGATAGGATGATGAGTTTCCACTCTTTTTTCATCTTAAATATTGCCCGAAA